CCCTTGACCCGACCACCCTTCGAGGTAAGTATCTCCCTTCTGTCAACCCAGGGATCTATTTTACTGTCTGTCGTAATACATCTTAGCGCGATGCCAGACACACTATATCAACACTGTCTGTGTGTCCGGAAGTCCCCTGCCACAGGTGGACCGTTATAAATAGTCTTGAAGGTCGTATTTCATTGTACAAGGATAATCCTCTTATTCATTCGCAAGATTAGATATACTCATAAAATATTTAAGAGGAAACGATCTCTTACATTGACACAGAATGATATCACGAACAATGAAATATCTAATACCGGCATACACACCTAGATCTGTGGTTTGGGCCAGACAAAGAAGGTAGTTAACTTACATTTCGCGTGGCGACACACGTTTACAAAGTTTGTTCTGTTATAAAGCAGAGAAAAAGTAAAACTTTGATGCGCAAATGCATGAAATGCGTTGGCTCTAATTGTTAATCAATATGAAAAGAATTCAGCCACACATGGAACGCATTTCCGTGCTGCGGGCGATTTCGGTCGACATATTCAGAGATGGGACCAGGTGCTCCGGGACAGGCTGTATCAGATGTAGGCCTTCGAATCATGTCTTTGGGTGATCTGGGTTCCGTGTTCAGCACAGATCATGTGTTAAACTGATGTAGAAATAGCTGTTTTCGGTATTTAAAGAGAAGTGCATCCAAATGGAATAATAATTGCAAAATTGTCAACTTAAGTCGCATACTGGATTCACGCAAGGCTATGCACATCGTTCAAGTAAACAAAATATTTACATATCATTTGTATATCATTTCGTCGTATATTTTTCAATGTACCAAGGAGAAACAGACGTTGCTGAATTTACGTAGATTTTCATGTAAACAAATAACAGTTCTACACTTAAGACCATTCTACATTTAAGGTCACAACATACGTATCTCCTTCACTTTGTATTTAGTGGCGTGAATACTGCAACTCATAAGACAACCCGACAACACGACATTTTTATTTTATTTTTAAGAAATGCCAGCAAAGATTGTATTTTATACGCAAACTGAGATCTTTTAACATAAGCAAAAGGTGATGTTGTCGTTTTAACGTTGTTTTGTTGAAAGTATAATTACTTTTTCAATTCAATGCTGGTATATCAAAAGCAAATCTTATCTTAACAAAATAATTTTAATTGCACGTAAAATCTCTGGGGTGCCTGTTTCGGATTTATCTTCTCTTTTTAATTCCCGTGCTCTTAACCTCGCTGAGAGAATTTTATTTGGTTCATGCCATTTTTTATTTTCTGAATACCATCTTTTACCTTCAGGCCGCCGAGACCAAATGCCCCGTTTTAAAACAAAACGAGTTCAAAATTCTTTTATTCCAGCAAGTATTCGCCTTTTAAATGACTGTTAACTTTGTCTGTCTGTTGTGTTGTTTTGTGTTTTATTAACCTTTATGTCATGTTTAATATGTAACCATATGACCTGTTTCAAATGTAAAAAGAATTCCCCTTTGGGTAATAAAGTATTGTCATTGTCATTGTCATTCACTTGTACTTGCCCTTAGCATACAGTCAGCTTCGGGCTGACGGCTATGTGACAATTTGCATGTGTGCTCTTAAAGACAAACCTTCTTACGAACATTTGAATGTTGTTATTATTGAGTAATTTTAAAAACATAATATATTTAGTTTTAATCTTTTAAAATTGAAAGGTGAAATCAGTTAAAATGCTGATTAGGTCAGTGCCTAATATCGGATTGTCATATTGTGAAATTGGGTTGCCTCGAGTAAATCATACCATAGTGCTTTTTGTTGTTTATCTTTTTCTCTGTGTATTTTCAATGAGAGTTGAGTATGATAGGTCTAGGTGTCAAGTAAATAGCAGGGGCAAACGTTTTTGTTGTTTTGTTTTACGCCACATTCGATAATTCTGCACCTTTGGATACGTTAATATGCATTCAACCAACCCACGGAGTCTTTCCACTTGATCCAACATTGAAACCATCCTGTATGTTTCATTTGGGACAGGGTGTTTTGTCATTAGTGTTCGTTTATGGATCTCTTATCACATTTTCTAAAGAAAGACACAGATGTGACGATACAAAACCAGAGGTACAGCGTTCAACTGCTCTAGAAATGTCAGCGGCTGCTCCCCGGTGACCGGTGACTAAGTCATATAACAAGACTGTCATTATTCGTGTGTAGATCCGACAATACGGTGTTTAACATCATGAGCGTCGACTGTAGTAGGTATGACCCTTTGTTGAAGCCTACGAGCATGAGAAAAGCTCCGACCGAAAAGATAACTCAAAGTCAATTTTGGATTCGAACCAGGATCCTATCACCAACGAGACAGTAATTCGTTATTATAAAAACGGGGATTGAAAGGTAAAATGGCTGCGGGTGGCAGCAATGTTGTAAGACCAGCTTCCATCTGGCAGAGGAAGGTTAACAGTCATCGCTGTCTCATCCTACCGGGTACCCAATTCACTACTGAGTGAATAGTGGGATTTTGGAATGTATAGACCAGGTCAAGTCAGCGCCAATCCAAGGTTAATTGCTGTCTTCGAACGTAAAATCATTTTGGCAATGATATGATCAGTTATGCATAACACGTCTGACGCGCAAAGCAACAAGCCATTAGCACATTGGTAAAAGCACACTGAAGTGATAGTTGTATTGAATGGCTTGTAGATTACGGTGAAAGGTGGCTTATTATAGTTAGGATCAATCGCGACCTGCTTTCATTTTCTTAGGCGACATCCCTTTACCACAAGCTCCTATCTCAAGGAGAAGGGGAGCTTATTGCAATAATGTACATTGGGAATCAAATCAGCGGGTTTGAACACAGGCCCTCGTGTCTTTGCGAGGATTAAAGATTTAAAAAAAATATATAAAAAATTGAGATGACCCCCGACTCGAAATGCACGGTGAAGCATTTCGAGTCGGGGGGCATCTCAAATTTACATATATATATTTAAAAATCTGAAGTCAAACATGGCGATCATTCAACACTGCCAGGTGGTCACCACAGGGAGAGTCTGTCGTGGTGTTACCAAAGCGAGGCTGGTACCTCATAACGAAGGCGATCTACTGGATCTACTCCAAATTCTCGTTGTCTGTCACTGACAGGGGTATTTGGGTCTGATGGGAATGAAACATGGGACACACGCCCAAGCTCCACAGTCCCTATTGGTTGAGGATCAGTCATGATGTGGGGAAGCGTGTCTCATGCATGCACGCTGGCGCCAAATCCTTGATTCGATCGTTGTACCACATTATGATAACGTTTTGCTTCCACAAACGTCCACATCGACGTAAACGGGACAACGCGGTAACAGGGTTCCTCCAGCTGAACCCCATCACGACAATCCTATTACTCCAGTTCGAAACCCGCCAGAACACATATGGAGCACATGGGAACGAAAGCTACAGATGCTAGAACCCGGTGTGCTACTTGCAGTCTGCAACAACAGCAACTGAGTTGAATGCCAAAATGGCAAAACACGCACCCTTGCACCCTAATGCAACCCTCACTAATGCAAGGATATGTGACACCCTCAGGATTTCAGCATATAGTCCCCGAGAAGATATGCTGCATAGGCGGATCTGTTACCCTATGCCTGTAGTTTATTAAATGACAGAATCGGCTCGTGAAAATGAAATGTGCACCCCTCCTTTCCAGCATATAGCTCCCGCCCCTGTGAAGAAGATGCTGCATAGGCGGATCCAGAGGGGGTCTTTCATTACATCAATCACTGGACTGTCTGGTCGAGACTATCCGCCGGCATACAGCTGGAATACATTTAGTGTGGCGTTAAACAAGCAAACGCTAATAAATCAGTGAGCACATAGCCCTATCATGTTTGAATAGTTTTTTAAATGGAACTTAGTTCGTTCACATTTCTAGCAGATCATAACTATACATTACTCAATCACAACCACCTCATATATTAGGTAAGGGGATACATGCCATCCGTCTGATTTAACGTGTTGAGAATGGCTGACAATAAAGCCAGCGGAATATAGTCAACGGGGGGTAACTCTAATACTAGCCTGCGTCTGTAAAATGACCTGAAAAGCGAGTTCAGCTCTTCGAGAAAGAAAAGACTCAAGCAAAGAAAAATTGCAAATGTATCGTTTATTGACAGAATGTTAAATGTCAATATCGTTACCTTTACTTTTTGTGGTGTTGCAATGGGAACCTCTATCTTACATTATTCTTAAAATAATGCTATTTCTGTGTAAACTATTCCTAAACAGTTCCTGCCTAATATATTTTTGTTTTTTTTATAGCTTCTGAGATTCCTTCAAAATGGACATTTATGAAAACTGATAATTTTGCATTGTACAGCGACTATAACTGGCGTTCAGCACTAACATGTCCTGATTTATCTCACATGGTTAAAACTGAAGATAATACAAACCCGGGGCGGATACTCCTTTAGAGAGGGGGGGTGGGGGGTGTCACACGTTTGAGAAAGAGGGGTGCACACTTCACAGGAAATTTTCAGGACGAAAGGGTGGGGGTCGGGGTGGGATTTTTTTTTTTTTGTTTGCTAGCCGATGATCAGAAGCAGAAGCAGTCAGCTAGCCAGGTCATGGACATGAACTAACCGTTCTTCAGTCAGAACAATTCTTCACTTTGTTTGGATGGGTTTCTAATCACAAATACATTCTTGCAATACTCAAAAGAACATCAATCAAGAAATACATTCATTAAAGCGTTTACTGGTGGTAAACGTTACAAATACAACTAATAGCGGTAATTCGCCATTAGTCTTTTACTAGCATGTCATATGAACAACCAGAGCGCTATATTCTTATATTAGTTTTGTTTTAGTCATCTGAGAAGTTAGGCTGCAGTGGATGAGAAATTCGACCAACCTAATAAGTGCCTCTGAAACATGATCGGAAACAAGAATATATTTTCGAGGCCTAAAACACCATGTGGTATAAATAATACTTTGATCACAATTGCGTAAAAATGGACATTGTCGTTTTCAAACATATGTTCTTGTTTAGCGAGCAAACTCCACTCGAGTAGACATGCACCCGCTCTGGAACCGTCTGATGACTTTCCGACCACACTGCTTCTTCCGGTCGTACTCCAGCACCGGGCGGAAGTAGTACACTGGGCTACACGCATGCGTGTATCCATCGCCGTAAGCGCATGTGCATACTGCTTCAACGATCATCGACGGTTCTCGGACAGCGTCGAAGTTGAGGATATAGTGCACAGGACACAATGGGGAACCGGGAGTTTTTGTGCTGCTGGCTTTCTGGCAGTTCTTTTCTCCAAATATATGGCGTGTTTTGGTTATTGGAGTAGTGATGTTCTTGTCTGCTCCGAACTGTGGCACCATGTAGAAAGATGCCTCGACTGTGTCCGTGGCGTCGCACACTCGCATGATGTTGCCCCCGCATGCTGGCTGGACTCTTGGAAGGTGAAGGAGCTGGAATGGGAGAGAAGGGTTGGTCAGTAAGTAGGTATACATGTCAACAGAAGTCTGTTATTATCAAAGTGTAACCAATAACGTCATCAACCAGATCGTCCTACCGAACAGAGGTTGTACTCCTCTCCCCCCGGGGATCCCGGGTTTGAAGGGTGCCGATCCCTCGACTCTGGTCATCCGCATACCACTTTATATATTTTAGAACCCTTTTTAGAACTCTTGCTTCACATGTACATCGGTGGACACAGCTGGTTCAAGATAGTTGGACTGGGATTTTCACAATTAAGACCATGAACGCGATCACATTAAGCTTTCAGATAGCTATTATTTTTTTTCACGTAAGAAGACAAAGAATAGGACCAAAAGTGATTCGTGTACCAGATAACATTTTATGGCATCCAGCGGGCTGCACGGTTGTATCCGGAATTACACTTGACAGGGTTCGGCGTCCAGCCGAGGGTCGGCATGCTCGTTCAGAGGGCCTAAGCAAACAATGCTTGTCGTACAAGACGACTGAATTGACGGGCTGTTAAAGCGCGGTGACATGGTTGAATGGGCCGCTGCTCATAATATCAATCCCTGATCCAGTGTCCGTTATCGCCATATTTACCAAGTGTTATTGAGTACGGCGTTAAACAACAGAAGGCTACAGAGATACTCACCCTGGCCCAGATCCATGGAAAACAAAAGAATAGGTTGTCTGCTTATACTCACACATTTGCCCTCAATGGTTATTTTGGTATAACGCCTATATGAACAGTATTTTAAGTCAAGCCACAGTCCATGTCTGCTTGGTATATCGCACATAATGAGACAAACGACAGGGCCGGTGGCGCCCCCTACCTTTATGTATAGTTAGTGCGCGAATATTCTAGTTACATCACGGCTGGGGGGCACCAGAAATGGGCATCACACACTGTACTCATGTGGGAAATCGAGCTTCGGCGTGTGGAGTGAACGCTTTAACCACTAGGCTATCCCACCACCCCTTACCATTAGGTATAACGACCGCATACTCACCGAGACATACAGATTTCTATGTGCAGGTATTTCATGTTTAACGCCCCACTGAGTGATATTCCAACTACGTCATAGTGGTCTGTAGATGCTGGAGTCTTCAGCAGACAACCATCTGACTGATCTCATAAGCATCGATTTACGTTACTAGGATGTATTGACATTGATCATCCAAGTCAGCGAGCCTGACCACACGATTGCGTAAGCCATCATTAACAACAAGCACAATCACTGTTTACTGCAAGAATCGTTTGCTGACGACCAAATCTGACCGGGATTCACGGATTCTATCTGAACTGACGTATTTGGATTGAACGCAAGTTTCAAAAGTATTTCTAGTCAAATAATGGCAGTGGGAGGTAGTTCTATTCCAGGTGCTAGATGTACCTTGTGGTGAAACTGGTCCTGGCATGATTCTGACAATCTAAGGACGATAATCGGGGCGAGTCGGGCATTGAAACTCCCGATCAGCATATTCTGCCTTGCCTGAGGGAAGTAAACTATATATTGTACCAATCACCGCACCTTAAACCATTAGGTCGAACTCAAACCAATTCGAGACCACGAACTTTTAAATTTCAAAATAACAAGAATGTTTTAAGCAACTCTGACACAGTATCACTTCACATCTAGAGATGACACATTTTAACAATATTCAAACTAACTTACTGCAAACACTGCACAGACCAGCAGACATTGACTCTGTCTGGAAGACTTGGACATCATTGCGAACAATCTGTAGTGTATTCCACGTAATAAACAATCAGTTTTGGTACCAGTATATATAGCAGAAAACAAGGAACGGTAAATGTGCGATATCCAGAATTTTCGTATTTACCAGTTTACACTCGTTACTTATTCTTAGAACCGTCTTTTTTTAAATTCCATAATAATTTTATAACGATTATTCACAGTTTTGCTACCTGGTTGGATTCTTCAAGAGGAAGAGGAACTCACACGGAAACACGAGCCACAGATGTACGCTTCTCACTCCATGAAGCGATATTTCACATTTAGTGTCAGTGGTGACAAAGTGCTGGTGACAGACGGGCACTGTCGGTAATTCGATAGCTTGAATGGACAAGGAATTCCTAACACCTATATTGCAGGGAAATCACTATATTGTGCATTATATTGTGTTATTTGAGCAGTTGATTGAGGACAGGTTTGATTAATTGTGAATGGGCTGGTACCCCTGTAGAGCTCTTCCGGCAACTTCTTCACAATTCTTATTCGTTGAACGGTATCGTTTTTCAAATAAACTGCTATCGCATCCGGAAATGGTTAGGTGTGAATTGTACCCATTTACTTTATGTTATGGGCAAAATAAAGCAAAGTACTTAAATAAAAAACATGCCTATGAGTTTCCTGAACATATAAGCTGTAATGAAGCACCACCCACATTTTTATATATGTTTGTTTAAACGCCACACTCGGCAATATTCCAGCTGTTCGGCGGTTATATATTGTACGCAAACACTACATATTTTGAGTTTTCATAAACCCCATAAATGTTGGCATTCTAAGCTGCTTCCCTACCCGCCCTTGAGGCTGTTCCGTAACTGTTACTTTACCCTCTTAAACCTCACACGGAAAATATAAACAAAATGATGATAGTTTGTTAAGTAACTTTTTTATTTTGGAAACAAACGTTATGAATCCTTTTTCCAGAGTTGGTCTGATGATTTCATTACATTCTGCGTTGAAATGAATGTTTGATCATGAACCGATTTGGAGTTAGATTGTGATTCATCGGTATCATTCTGACCCAAACAGACTATATAGTTACCGTGTGGTAGGTTAAGTCAGCACGGACGTTGCGACAGGACATCCCAGCGTCATGCATGCCAGTAACTGGTCATCTAGTATTTTCTGAAAGTCTTCGCCGGTCAGCTCAAGAAAAGATAATTTTCGTTCTGTTGTCATTTAAATCAGTTCAGAAAACTGTAGTGCACATTAGAGCTGTGTATCGGTGCCTAAGTGGCGAGACGATATATCCTGATACCAGTTTAATGAGGCGACACGATATATCATGAAAGTATTGGCAAGGAACCTGCGAGACGATTATCATCACGATACAGTGATGGGAATATGATACGTATCCCGACACTTTACAATTCTGTTTACATTCTTTCACTGATACACCAACTCCTTTTGTCCATGTAACAAAGATGACAGACACAAACAAATTTCTATAAGGTTAACAGGGATTGGGATAGGGAACTTTGACAGTGGGCCATTTTCAGGATTATTAGTCATTTTCTGAATTTAAAATGGGCCAAAACCCTTGTATCAATAGTAAAGTTCAAAATTTTAATGGGCCATTTTTTTTATTATTCTAATGTGCAAAATGGCCCATGTCCCCTGCCTTTCCCAATCCCAGGGCTCAGTTTGTTTTTAAAAGTTAGAAGTATTTCAAAGAGACTCCCTTCCTAATCCTAATGCAATGCTCCTTACAACTTTAAGTGGTATTTATGTAGTATCGGATATATCGTCTCTTGTGGCCATACATCGATGTATCATGGACCCTTGCGATATAAATATCCTGATATATTGCCTAAATGTGTTTTGTATCGATGCGTTTGTATCGTGCAGCACGATGCAAACATCGATACTATCGATGAATCGTTACACCACTAGTGCACATACTGCAAATATGAAACGTATACCCGAAAGTGCTTGGCGCCTTCGAAGCATGTAAGCATGCGACCCATAGCTTTTGAGATATTGTGTGAAGCAGCAGCTCTACATGTTCATTCCAGGATGCTCGGGTCTGTTTGGAACAAACTTCAAATAATTGCCCTTGGATTTTAGGTTTTGCTAAATTAATGTTCAGGTGTATACTTTGGAATGCACGTCACTCTCTGCATGTCCTAACTATAACACACTGCAGCCGATTGTGGAAGGCAATGCGACGGGATCTGATATTAACAATATTGGAGAAGGGAATATCATTCCTGACATTATATTCATATCAAATGAATGACTGCCCGCCATTATGCACGTTACCGATTGGCCGTATCTTTCTTACATATATGTATAATTATATTGTGTATGTAACTGTCGGGTTATATTTATGTGCGTTTTTTTTATCCATTTGCGGTATGTATTACAGGTCACGTTCACCTAAATGTATGCGACTTCTAGAAAGCATTTGCTCAAAGCAAAAGGTCGCAGCAAGTAATTGTGAGGGTCGAGTCTCTTGGGTGTCACACGCCCATCGGTTCAAATCCCAGATTCTTCCTTGGTTTGTCTGTACCATTCCTGTGCTTGTGTTTTGCCACAACATGGTAAACATGCGTGCGCACCACTTTGGGCTTTCCTCCCATCTTGTCATGACACGCATCTCCCTAACCTAGGAATGGGAAAGCCCAGACAGCCGCAGGTTGCACAGCCTCGTTAGGTGGAAATCTACAGGAACTGATCACAGAGACAAAAGGCAACGACTGGGAGTCTGGGACTGATCCCATGAGCACACCTATCACTACTACGAGAGGCGGCTAAGCAGAAGCAATTTCAGATCATTAAGCAACCCGTTCACCTCCAAAGGTCAAAGTCAGAAGGACTGAAGGACAAAAAGAGTCAGAAGTGCTTAATGTAACACCAGCAGGTTTTCAAATATTCCAGGCAGCTGCACGTCTTCAGCTGTTACTGCCACAGGACAGTCACCGCTTGTAGTGACATTACAAGCAGTTTTCCATCTTTAAATCACTCTGAAACTGTAGCACCTTCTTGTAAAATTAACCATTTATCAAATATCTGAAACAACAAAGAACTTAGCTGCATTATCAGCTCTTATCTAAAGCACTGGATATATATTCTGAGCTTCTCATCCTTACCAATACACATGACAGACCCTTGACATCCCAGGGTTAATTTGGTCAGCAGCGACCCCTGCTTCTCCTGTCCCAGGAGGCGAATAACAGCATTGGGTGGTCATGTTCACTGATTTGGTTGATCATATTCCAAATGCCTAGATCTATGCCCAGGATGTCAATCACTTAATTGTCAGGCCAAGACTTTTACAAACCAGTCAAATAGCATTAGTAATGCTGACTGGTGTTAACCAACAAAGAAACCAACATCATATGAGCACATGGTTCAAATGTCGCCCAAAGTGATTCTGTGAATCTGGTTTCTTTAAGTACACTTTAAACAGCCATTTTCAAACTGTTTGGTGAAACTGGGCCACAAAGTGGGAGTAAAGAAAATATAAGGAAGAACTTAGTATATACATTTTATTGCAAGTATGTACACAAAGGTAATGTTATAAGGTTGCAGATCGTAGGTAGGTGACCAGACAAAGTGATTGGGTGAAGAGGTCCTCGAGTGTCCTCCATGATTCTCGGTGACTTGTCACTAGGCTCTCTGCTTCCTCAACAAGCTCTGGTGTCTCAGCTATCACGTCAGCATTCAGCTACAAACAAACAGCAGAGGTTTATTTGTGAGTGTGGAAGAGCTTTAGATAGTGGTTGGGTGACTGAGCCAGCCAGCTGAGTAATAAATGCCCAACATTAGTGCTCTAGAAGCCAGCCAATCCAAAAAACCAAGTGCTTTCACATCATAATCACCCTACAGATTCCTCTGATAGCATAATTGTGATAGTGTTACGGTGGCCCTTACATAATGACACAAGAAATATCGATCACATCAGACAGTTGACAACCAGTCACACAGTTTTATCACCAGATCAGACAACTCCTACATCAGGTAAATATTTCTTAAGACCCATTCTGTCCTGGAGGTGAGGTCACGTCGTACTTAAGAATATTTCACTCATATGATGACATGCATGTGTGTGTATGTGTGACTGCTTGTACTAGCCCAGACTGAAGCTGGTTTTATAGTGCTAGCCCACTGAGATACCATGCCACAGTAAAGCATGAATACCCCACTCAGACACATTATACTGACTCTGAGCCGACCAGACCATTAATGCCGAGTGCCAGACAGGGACCAACAAGTACCATATTTTAACGTGTTTTTGTATGATGCGGCCAGGATCTAACCTGCGACCTTCCGCTCTCCAGCTGGAAGTACTAACCACTACACCACGGAGGTGATCCATTCTGTCCTGGAACCACCACAATGTCTAACACAGGATGACACATCAAAACAGAACATGTAAATCGACCTGACCATATACAAAACAATTTTGACTTTTTAAAGTCTACTGCCTACAATTTTTGTCAATGGTGTGGTGTAGTTCTGTATGATATGTGGAGCATGGAAACTCACAGTGGATTAGTATAGGACTTTGATATTACCTTCAGAAACAGTCCCAGATATGCCTGCACAATCTCAAAGTTGTTGTTGGTCTTGATACTGTGGTTGATGAATTTCATGAATTCAGCCATCACTTGCACGTTTCCTCCACCCGAGGGTGCCAGTGAGCTAATCTGCACATCAATTGCTGATGGGCCCAGTTCCTTCAGATGATCCAGTACTGGGGAATCTACAAGATAAGGAACACCGTGCTGTCTGAATGTAGGGCATGCAAGTGAGTGAATGAGTTTAGTTTTATACCACTTTTAGCAATATTCCATCAATATTACATTGTGGGACACCAGAAATTGGCTTCACACAATGTACCCATGTGGTGAATCGAACCTGGGTCTTCGGCGAGACGAGCAAAAACTTTAACCAGTAAGCTATCCCACTGCCCCATCATGCAAGTAGATGGTAAAACTTATTGGCAAATCAACATTTCTACTTTACAGATTTCCTTGACTGGCAGAATAGACATGGCTATACACTCATTCAATAATAAATAAACACTGATTACTAAAATATGTTCAATAAGGCAGACAGAGTTATCTCCCTTGTACATGCCGTTTCCACTTGTTTCAAAGGCATGGTATTCATTGATTTCCCATTCACATTTATTAAAGTATGTTCATGGAGAAGCAATACCAGTTTTTCCCTCACCAACCACCCATCTACCCCCACCCCCTACTCACAACTGCCTGTGTCCCTGGAGTCCTCCAGTAGCTGAGCCAGGGGTGAAAGTGTCTGCAGGTTCCCGGACAGGATACGAGAGCCCTTCTGGAAGGAGAGGCACAATTACACTCATCATCACTGCTTTCCTTGAGACATTCTGACTGGTCATGGAAAATGTGCTGGTTTGGCAATCAGAGTAACTATGACATGTCCACGTCCCTGGTGATCACTTTGCTAACACAGCAGGCAGACCACCTCCACACATAGATCATCATCATATTGCCATCAGGTCACAATCTTTGTATCAAGAATGATATAGGGTGGCTAGAAGAAAGCCAAATATCATAGTTCTGTCAAGCATGGAAATACTGAAACACATAACTGTCATCATATACCATCTCACAAATGCACATCCACATTTATACCTCACAAATGCATTGCTGGAATAACTAGATAGGTAGATAGGTAGGTAAGATAGGTACAATGGCAGGCATGCATAGATGTACAAAAACACTTTTGCATTTTTTCTTATTCCACCACCACCAACATTCCAGCTGTGTCACGGTTGCTGATAATAACTGCCATGGGGCATGGCAAACCAGTGGTTGACAGCATGACCAAAATCCTATATCTTTGGGATACGATACGAATCTCAGAGCCTGACAATGTTGCCTCCATTAGTTTCTTGTTTTAAGATAAAGATAGTATAAAGTATAGTACTAGCACAAACACACAATGTATAAACACACTTTAGATGGCAATCAGAGTAACTATGACATGTCCACGTCCCTGGTGATCACTTTGCTAACACAGCAGGCAGACCACCTCCACACATAGATCATCATCATATTGCCATCAGGTCACAATGTTCTTGTGTTTAACTGTGAGTCACTTTATTAGTTCATTGATTGACCAATGACAGTGCATGCTGGGTCACATGAAAGCCCAAGTGCTTGTCAGGCCAAACACTGAAGTACCGTTTAGTTCATTCATGTCATCTGTTAACATCATTGGCAGTATGGTGTCATCTTACAAACACGTGTTTGCAGTCACTAATACCATAAGTACCAATACAATGCTCCATGAGTTGCTGTATATTACTCAATGTGAATATTGCTACATAAGCACTCAAGTTATTGAACAGGTAAAACATAACTACACAATAGTATAAAAGAACGTTACATAGCATAACAGAACTTTGCATAACCATAAGATCTCACCTTGACTCATCACTCCGTATTGTTCAATCAAATAGGCTCAACAAAAGGAAATAGGCTTAACAAGGAGGACGAACTAACAACACAGGCTAACTTCCAAGAAACATTTAATTGCTGCATCTCGGTGGGATTAACAGGTCTGATCAACATGTAGAAATCGTGTGAGCGCTGTGTTTATGTTGTGATTACAAATTGTTGAATGTGTTACAGATTAGGAGTAGCACCGATAGTTTTTGACAGATACTGAAGTGAATCTTACTTTAGCAACATGACACCTACCTACTGAAGGCATAGTTTACTGGAGCAGATGTTCCTACACCCAAAACAAATAAATTCATAGTAAAAGCAAATGATACCAAGTATGAACCAGCAATGGCAGTAGAGCAGTGTTCCAAAACTAAATTGCAAGTTGCCAAAACTGTTGCTAATCTAAGTCTTGTGTTATTCATTCTTTCTTAATATCAGTAAATGTATTCCAAGTTAGATTTTTGGTCAGCTGAACCATGGGTAACTTGAAGTATCTATGTACTTCTTCCACTTTTGACAGAACCGTGTTTGACTGCACATGCAGAGAAGCAGATCGAGGCTGTCTCACTTGTGCTTGCATATTCCAACCAACTCTGCATTTTTCAGAGAACTCAGCCATCATATGCCTAACTCCCACACAGTAGTTCTGAGTACAGTACCAGGACTCTACTTACCTTAGTTTTCCCCTCATCTTCTTCCAATTGGACAAACTTTGGCTGCAGGCCTGGTACAGTTGGCAGGAAGAATGGAGCAGCTTTTGGAACCTTTGGTGGCTGTTTTGGTTTATTCCTCAGCTAAGACAAATATAAGGACATCGTGACCTTTCTGTGCATTTCTTGTGCCATTAATCTATTATGTTTAACGTCAGAATCAGCAATACTGCGGTTACAACATGGTGACTGGTAAATAATTCTGGACCAAAATTAGTGATTACTATAGGAATAAGTTGATATACAATAAACCAAGTTAATGAGCCCGATCGAGTGATCCGCTTTGCCCTGTCTTACAACCATCAACAAGGAACCACATCTTGGAAAGCTCTTTTACACTTAGTGTCATTAAGTGGTGGAGGAGATATTCATAACTGTCCATCCAAAGCAGACGTCATGTAAACTGGGTTGTCATAAATGTGCTGGACTAGCAGACCAATACTATACATTCATCAGAACCAGAGTGAGTGAGTGAGTTTAGTTTTACGCCGCACTCAGCAATATTCCATCTATATGGCATATTGGTCTGTAAATAATCGAGTCTGGACCAGACAATCCAGTGATCAACAGCATGAGCATTGATCTGTGCAATTGGGAACCGATGACATGTGTCAGCGAGCCTGACCACCCGATCCCGTTAGTCGCCTCTTATGACAAGCATGGGTTACTGAAGGTTCTTTCTAACATGGACCTTCACGGGTATATCAGAACCCGAAATTCGTAACAGTATAAAATGGCTGACTATATTACTCACAATCAAACTGAAGACATTTATCTTTTCTTGTTAAATAACACTTTAAGCTTAATATCTTTTAAGTGTATACCTGAACTTCTCACCATGCAATGAACAAGAAGCTGTTTTCCAGAAATTTGTTATAAAGCATGAATGTACCTGTGTAACCTTCGTTATAATGCATGAAAGTTCTCATCTCATGTGATATATCAAAACATGAAACATATGATGGTGGCGTGCATGCATGTGTAGACTGAGATACCATGGTAGGTAAGAAAGAATGCATGGTTAGTTAGGAACACATGAAAACTGACAGCAGGTATGTGTCAAACTGAACTCTTACTGGGCCTTGCTAGATTTTATTTGCTTTAGAAAAGGAACAGCACAGATATTGCACACTGTGGAGGAATATTTAGTACTGATAACAAAGAATACCGAGCCTCTACACCAGTATACATAATAACTAGGTGCTTCATTAATATTGCCTGAAAGAGGGCACCAGAAAGAATTTTGTCAATGAATATTAGGGAACAGGGTGGTGGGGTAGCCTAGTGGTTAGTACGTTCGCTCGTCATGCTGAGGGCTCGGGTTCGATTCCCCACATGAGTACAATGTGTAAAGCCCTGCAGCGATATTGCTGGAATATTGCTGAAAGCGGTGTAAAACCCAACTCACTCACTCACTTAAGGAACAAATTCTCCACAGACAGGTTTCCAGTTTGCAAAGAGTCTGTCTCTGCTCCCCTACCTTGATGATGTCCAGACTCAGGAGGTTCTGCCATCGGGAGTTGGGAAGAAGGGACAGAGTCACCAACTCATCTGAGATCTGGGCCGGGGACTTGAACTCGGACTTCTCATACATCTCCAACTCCTCTGCATCCTCGTCACCAACTGGAATGAGAGACTTCTATATTGATATTCCATTTCACATTCAAAGCTGCTTGCCTGTCTGTTAACCAATAGTATTACAACTTTGCATTCCTTGCATCTTGCAAACAGGTTGGTTTTTTTCAGTATAAAATGATTCCAATTGCAGGTCTTTCCTTGAATATCCAATGGCTTGCCTATAAGCACTCTATTACTCTATATCAAAAGTTCCTGGGTCAAGGAAGCACTAATATAAATGAACTCAATGATCTACCTGCTGTGACTCTGCGACTTGTACTGGGTACCGCCATCGTCTGGGGTTCGAAGTCTTCGGGGAGTGGTTTCAGTGACACATATGTGTACAAGGTCATGTTGGACCACAGATAGATGCCAAGGTCATCCACATGGGTCGTAGCCAGGAAGTCACTGGTCGGAGACATGCTCAGTGATGTCACCGCTGAATCAACCAAGAAGCAGTCGATCATTCTGAAGAAAAAATTAGAATCATTTATCAGCAATCACAACATCTGAAAAGAAGGAAATTGACCTGCATGCACAGACTAGATAACTTGAGACAGACTGTGTAGACTTGATGCCTCTTGTTATGATTATGGAGTTGTCGTTTTACTCCACAGTCAGCAATATTTCAGTCGTATCCTGATGGTCTGTAAATAACTGTTTAAATAGGCAAGTGACCACTTTAACCACTTGCCAACCTCACCCTAATCAGTGCCCATAACAAACTGAGTTCAAACAGATGCAACATTTCCTGTATCTGTTCTCTGTAAATAACATCAGTACTGCTTGAATGATGCCTAACACTGGCACACACTCACTTGCCAGTGGGCAGGTCCCAACATCTCACTGTGGAGTCCATGGATGAGGTCACCAACCACCGAGCATCAGGGCTGAATGTCTGAAGCAAACAACAACATATCCTTAACATGAAAGCTGGTATTCAATTTGTATTATTTCAAGCACACAGGAACTTACACTGATAATGTCCATGTTTCACAGAAAGATGAAATGAGATGAAGTGTGTGAATGATTGTTTAATGGTGTTGTCAGCAATATTCTCTATCAGTCTAAGTACACTTAGGCTCAGTATTATTCGTTACACTGCTATACTGAGTCTAACAAAACCTAGTAGAAGGTCGCGTCAGCTAACCTTTGAGCGACCTATGCCCATCCATCAAAGCAAGACAGCCGAATGGATTTAACCAATCAGACAACGACTACTTGTTAGGGTTCGGCGGGACTTACAAAGTGGTTTTGGGATTTTCTCTTCCCTGATCGCTGACACTGATCAATCAACAAACGAAAATCTGCATAAAACACAGACATTTGACATGCAGAAAGTATGGTTATGGGTTTCTAATGACATGGTTACTATTTGCTTATATTTTCGCAAGATGACATCCTTGAATATTGACAAAAATGCTATTTTCAGCAACTGATTACTCATTGAGTATCACTCGGAAGCAATCGTGCAGAAAATAGCATTCGGAATCGTTCGAGTTTGTTAGGTAAAGGTTCAAACGGTATGGGCGAATGTTAACTTTCGCGATTTGGTAAGCTGTGTTCTTATTGGTCAGTCCAAAACATTAGCTGATGCGACCTTCTACTAGGTTATTGTTAGACTCAGTATAGCAGTGTAACGAATAAGACTGAGCCTAAGTTTACTTAGACTGTATTCTCTATATATCATAACTGCCTGCAACAGTCAAGCCTTGGCCATGCAAACCCGTGACTCAAGCTAGTTACCATGTCTGTGATGATGTTGCTGTGTCCACTGAAGACTCGGACCTCTCGTCTTGTGTCAGTGTCGACCACCACAACGCTGTAGTCATCTACAGATACCGCCAGCATGGCACTGTCAAAACAACACACAGAATAAAACAGGCTCATCGTGTTCCGCCAAACATCTAATCTTTTCTTCCAGAATCGCAAAATATTGCAATACACAGTCCTACTGATGTGTAATTGTTATGTTGATAAGCCAGCTTTCAAGCTAAACAAAATATTTAAGTTAGGGTGTATTCTTAATTTTCAACAGTGATATGTCTGACTGAAAAGTTTGAACGAAATGCTGCATTATACTTGTTCCTATCAATAGGAAACATTCATTGCATTATAGCATTTGCAATACAATGTTTACATTGTTACCAATTATATATGATGAAGATTACCAGGTTACTGGTACAGATATTTTACATTTCCAGAAGTGGACTTGTGAACAGTGACAGATCTTTCAGGAGTAGCCATGTAGCCATGTTTAAGTTCATGTTAGAATACCTTTTCGACAATTCAATAGTAAAGTTGCAATAGAAACGATGGGCATGTTTCAACAAAGCAAAAGAAATTACACACAAAGCTGGCCCTACCTTTCTCTGTGTAAAAGAATACGAGATATACTGCATTTGAGTTTCACGGAGCCTAGCAAAACTTTTGTTTTGAATTTCCAGAAGTGGACTTGTCCATCTGCTCCTGCTGTGATGACCATCTGGTTGAGTCCATCCACAGCGATACCCCTCACAGAACAGGTGTGTGCTGTGGGCAATACAACACCTGGATTACATTCACAGCTGCTGTGCTACTGTCTGCATATCCACTGTACTCTAGACGGCAATCAGAGTAACTATGACATGTCCACGTCCCTGGTGATCACTTTGCTAACACAGCAGGCAGACCACCTCCACACATAGATCATCATCATATTGCCATCAGGTCACAATGTTCATAAACTTATTGAACGATATACGGTTAGGTAGTAGAAAGACAAATATCATAGACCTCTATCAAGGATCGAAATACTCAGAACACATAAAACTCAACATATACCATATTTCACATCCACACATCCATACTTCACAAATGCACTGCTGGAATAGCTTGGTGAAAGAGGTTTTGCTGTAATTCCTCATACAGCGGCAATGGTAAAACTTTATCAGATTTTTGAAGCAACAGCAATATTCCAGCCCTGTCAAGGGTGCTGTCAATAACTGAGATGGGGCAAGCTAAACAGGCGGCTGAAAGCATGACCAAAATCCTACATCTTTGGGATACAGATACAAGTCACTGAGCATGATAACCAGACCCTCATTAGTCCATTGTTACAGGACCAGGATGAGATTTTGCATGAGGACTAGCTCTGTTCAGGTAGGAACCCCACAGACCTCTTCAGGACCAACTCTTCCCAGAAAACCCTAGGGAACCAATGACCTCTTGAGGACCCACTCTTCCCAGAAAACCCCAGGGAACAAATGACCTCTTTAGGACCAACTCTTCCCAGAAAACCCCAGGGAACAAATGACCTCTTTAGGACCCACTCTTCCCAGAAAACCCCAGGGAACAAATGACCTCTTTAGAACCCACTCTTCCCAGAAAACCCCAGGGAACCAATTACCTCTTTAGGACCCACTCTTCCCAGGAACCCCCAGGGAACCAATGACCTCTTTAGGACCTACTCTTCCCAGGAAACCCCAGGGAACCAATGACCTCTTTAGGACCCACTCTTCCCAGGAAACCCCAGGGAACCAATGACCTCTTTAGGACCAACTCTTCCCAGGAAACCCAAGGGAACAAATGACCTCTTTAGGACCAACTCTTCCCAGGAAACCCCAGGGAACAAATGACCTCTTTAGGACCAACTCTTCCCAGGAAACCCCAGGGAACAAATGACCTCTTTAGGACCAACTCTTCCCAGGAAACCCAAGGGAACAAATGACCTCTTTAGGACCAACTCTTCCCAGGAAACCCTAGGGAACAAATGACCTCTTCAGGACCAACTCTTCCCAGGAAACCCTAGGGAACAAATGACCTCTTCAGGACCAACTCTTCCCAGAAAACCCCAGGGAACAAATGACCTCTTTAGGACCCACTCTTCCCAGGAAACCCCAGGGAACAAATGACCTCTTTAGGACCAACTCTTCCCAGGAAACCCCAGGGAACCAATGACCTCTTCAGGACCCACTCTTCCCAGAAAACCCCAAGGAACCAATGACCTCTTTAGGACCTACTCTTCCCAGGAAACCCCAGGGAACCAATGACCTCTTTAGGACCAACTCTTCCCAGGAAACCCCAGGGAACCAATGACCTCTTTAGGACCCACTCTTCCCAGGAAACCCCAGGGAACCAATGACCTCTTTAGGACCAACTCTTCCCAGGAAACCCTAGGGAACAAATGACCTCTTCAGGACCAACTCTTCCCAGGAAACCCCAGGGAACCAATGACCTCTTTAGGACCAACTCTTCCCAGGAAACCCCAGGGAACAAATGACCTCTTTAGGACCAACTCTTCCCAGGAAACCCTAGGGAACAAATGACCTCTTCAGGACCCACTCTTCCCAGGAAACCCCAGGGAACCAATGACCTCTTCAGGACCCACTCTTCCCAGGAAACCCCAGGGAACCAATGACCTCTTTAGGACCAACTCTTCCCAGGAAACCCTAGGGAACAAATGACCTCTTCAGGACCCACTCTTCCCAGGAAACCCCAGGGAACCAATGACCTCTTCAGGACCAATGAACTACCAAACAGAAAGAAGGAGGTCTTCCTTGCTGTGATTATGTACATATTGTGATTGAAAGTGAAACAATAGATGTTGAGAAGATACTGAGATATCAGAATTACTTCACACAATGTATAAACACACTTTAGATGGCAATCAGAGTAACTATGACATGTACAGGTCCCTGGTGATCACTTTGCTAACACAGCAGGCAGACCACCTCCACACATAGATCATCATCATATTGCCATCAGGTCACAATGTTCATAAACTTATTGAACGATATACGGTTAGGTAGTAGAAAGACAAATATCATAGACCTCTATCAAGGATCGAAATACTCAGAACACATAACACTCAACATATACCATATTTCACATCCACAAATCCATTCTTCACAAATGCACTGCTAGAATAGCTTGGTGAAAGAGGTTTTGCTGTAATTCCTCATACAGCGGCAATGGTGGGCATGCATAAATTTACATAAAACTTTATCAGATTTTTGAAGCAACAGCAATATTCCAGCCCTGTCAAGGGTGCTGTCAATAACTGAGATGGGGCAAGCTAAACAGGCGGCTGAAAGCATGACCAAAATCCTACATCTTTGGGATATGATACGAGTCACTGAGCATGATAACCAGACCTTCATTAGTCCATTGTTACAGGACCAGGATGAGATGCTGCATGAGGACTAGCTCTGTTCAGGTAGGAACCCCACAGGGCAACCGATGACCTCATCAGGACCCACTCTTCCCAGGAAACCCCAGGGAACAAATGACCTCTTTAGGACCCATCTTTCCAGGAAACCCAAGGGAACAAATGACCTCTTCAGGACCAACTCTTCCCAGGAAACCCCAGGGAACCAACGACCTCTTCAGGACCCACTCTTCCCAAAACCCCAGGGAACCAATGACCTCTTCAGGACCAATGAACACCCAAACAGAAAGAAGGAGGTCTTCCTTGCTGTGATTATGTACATATTGTGATTGAAAGTGAAACAATAGATGTTGAGAAGATACTGAGATATCAGAATTACTTCACACAATGTATAAACACACTTTAGACGGCAATCAGAGTAACTATGACATGTACAGGTCCCTGGTGATCACTTTGCTAACACAGCAGGCAGACCACCTCCACACATAGATCATCATCATATTGCCATCAGGTCACAATGTTCTGATTGATTGCTGATTGTAATGTTTAACAGTACATCTTGTTGTCATGATTGTCAGAATATGGTCATATGATTGCTGATTGTAATGTTTAACAGTACATCTTGTTTGTCATGATTGTCAGAATATGGTCATATGATTGCTGATTGTAATGTTTAACAGTACATCTTGTTTGTCATGATTGTCAGAATATGGTCATATGATTGCTGATTGTAATGTTTAACAGTACATCTTGTTTGTCATGATTGTCAGAATATGGTCATATGATTGCTGATTGTAATGTTTAACAGTACATCTTGTTTGTCATGATTGTCAGAATATGGTCATATGATTGCTGATTGTAATGTTTAACAGTACATCTTGTTTGTCATGATTGTCAGAATATGGTCATATGATTGCTGATTGTAATGTTTAACAGTACATCTTGTTTGTCATGATTGTCAGAATATGGTCATATGATTGCTGATTGTAATGTTTAACAGTACATCTTGTCATGATTGTCAGAATATGGTCATATGATTGCTGATTGTAATGTTTAACAGTACATCTTGTTTGTCATGATTGTCAGAATATGGTCATATGATTGCTGATTGTAATGTTTAACAGAACATCTTGTTTGTCATGATTGTCAGAATATGGTCATATGATTGCTGATTGTAATGTTTAACAGTACATCTTGTTTGTCATGATTGTCAGAATATGGTCATATGATTGCTGATTGTAATGTTTAACAGTACATCTTGTTTGTCATGATTGTCAGAATATGGTCATATGATTGCTGATTGTAATGTTTAACAGTACATCTTGTCATGATTGTCAGAATATGGTCATATGATTGCTGATTGTAATGTTTAACAGTACATCTTGTCATGATTGTCAGAATATGGTCATATGATTGCTGATTGTAATGTTTAACAGTACATCTTGTTGTCATGATTGTCAGAATATGGTCATATGATTGCTGATTGTAATGTTTAACAGTACATCTTGTTTGTCATGATTGTCAGAATATGGTCACATGATTGCTGATTGTAATGTTTAACAGTACATCTTGTTTGTCATGATTGTCAGAATATGGTCATATGATTGCTGATTGTAATGTTTAACAGTACATCTTGTCATGATTGTCAGAATATGGTCATATGATTGCTGATTGTAATGTTTAACAGTACATCTTGTTTGTCATGATTGTCAGAATATGGTCATATGATTGCTGATTGTAATGTTTAACAGTACATCTTGTTTGTCATGATTGTCAGAATATGGTCATATGATTGCTGATTGTAATGTTTAACAGTACATCTTGTCATGATTGTCAGAATATGGTCATATGATTGCTGATTGTAATGTTTAACAGTACATCTTGTTGTCATGATTGTCAGAATATGGCCATATGATTGCTGATTGTAATGTTTAACAGTACATCTTGTTTTCATGATTGTCAGAATATGGTCATATGATTGCTGATTGTAATGTTTAACAGTACATCTTGTTGTCATGATTGTCAGAATATGGTCATATGATTGCTGATTGTAATGTTTAACAGTACATCTTGTTGTCATGATTGTCAGAATATGGTCATATGATTGCTGATTGTAATGTTTAACAGTACATCTTGTTGTCATGATTGTCAGAATATGGTCATATGACTGCTGATTGTAATGTTTAACAGTACATCTTGTTGTCATGATTGTCAGAATATGGTCATATGATTGCTGATTGTAATGTTTAACAGTACATCTTGTTGTCATGATTGTCAGAATATGGTCATATGATTGCTGATTGTAATGTTTAACAGTACATCTTGTTGTCATGATTGTCAGAATATGGTCATATGATTGCTGGTTCTAAATACTGTGATATTGTAAGCAACAATCTGCACATACTCCACAATATGACAGCAGTTTCTATCTGGACCAGATAATCCCATGACTAGTGAGAAACATGCATGCTGGTCCAACTTGTGTGGCTCATCACCTACCTGTTGGTGTCCCGAATGTCCCTCTGAAGATACCGGACTGAAGGTTGTACATATCAACATGACCTGAGCTGTAGCCAATCACAGCAAAGTTTCCACATGGTGTGATCTCCACTGCCTGCAAGATAGGATATTTGATTATATCATTTACAATGTTTGATAGTGAAAAATAATATAGACACTTTGTGCTACTTTATAAATACTTACCGTCTACCAAACTGACACGATGAATTTTTCAGATTAATACCATGAAGGAATGAGCTGTGTCTAATGTCATTTTATAAAGTTTATGTGGAAGACAAGCCCAGAAGTGAGGCATTTCTTAGGCATTAACATAGGATTCCAACAAAGCATCATCTCTGCGATGCCAAACTCATGAAGCCAAGTCAAATTTTAAGCATTATTAGTTTGCTAGTCCATAACTGTCAATTTTAAGTATTTGTATATAGTGGTTGGATAGTTTATAGGTTTCAGCCTTTAAGTTTACAGATACATACAACAAACCCTGTGAGTTAAATGTATCCCTGCACTTATGTAATTACTCATTTAACAATAGCCACTCTACTGGGTCAGGCCAGGTTCTGACCCATGTGACTGCCCCTTGCACAAGCTTCTTTTGTCCTTCTGTCTCAGTTTGTCTGGTCAGCTTGCCACCTATTGTCTATTTTAGTTTTAAAGGTGGCTGTCACACATAACTTGTTGGCGGTCACATAGATCTTTCTGGGAGATCACCTTGATTTATATTTTCGTCGGATATTGCTGGCATGTGAGGAGGATTTCCTTATCCAGGTCAGTGCATATGTTGTATGTGTATATATGGTATTCTCCCTGAAGATAAAAGTGAAACATGTTGGAGAAGATCCGTGTCGTGTGATTATTTCAGAAATGTCTTCTTATGTATGGTATTGTATATATGGTATTGTATATATTGTATGTGTATATATGGTATTGTATCAGGTATTCTCCCTGAAGATAAAAGTGAAACATGTTGGAGAAGATCCGTGTCGTGTGATTATTTCAGAAACTTCTTATATATGGTATTGTATATATGGTATTGTATATACTATATTTCCTAAGAAGTGTTAGATTAATGCATCAATGTATAACTAAATGTAGCTAGTGTTTTACCAGCCATCAGTACAGAAGATGTGGATGTGAGATCTGTTGTTTTTATTATAATCTATTTTATAATTTTTCCTTATCATTATTAAAGTCATATTTTAACTTTTTAAAGAATGACCCATGATACTTGACCGATCATCCTTGACTGCATAAGTGATTGTTGGACTCATTGACACACATTGGTAAGTGAAGGATATTGAAAATTTTAATATAAATTGTATATTTATATACTTATCCTATCTCACGTTATGCACTTCTCTCTCTTGATTCGACACTGAGTGGAACGATGTAAACTTTTTCCCTAGGTCTCTCTTGTCCATCCACCCAAGCACTACATAATACCCTCATTATAAGACAGCTTCCTGGTTCTCATGCAAAGCATGCGGCATGCACCACTAGCTACCCACGTGACTATCTCCAAATCATCATTCATATTCTTGGAGCCCTGGATAATATCCATCTTGGAGAATCTGCATAGCGGGGAGGATGGGCATACCTAATCAAAACCAACTTAAATATGAGGAATCCGTCACGCGTGAGATAGGATAAGTATATAAATATACAATGTATATATATAAATTTTCAAATTTTTAAACTTATCCTATCTCACGGTATGCACTTATCCCACGGTTGGACGGCGGGACACAGATACCCTGTGTCTTGACAGTGCGAACAGCAGGAACTGTGTAGACTGGAAACGACCGTAGATAGCGATGCACAAGGGAGGCCTATTACGCATGCATGCAACTCCTATGCTTGTGCTGAGTTCTCTGGAACTCCTTGGCTTACTAAGCACAACTTCTCCCAGGGAGATGGGGGCTCCCGAGCGATGTGGTGTTCGGTCGCAACCTCCGAAGAAGGACGCAGCTCAGCGAGAAAGTATGTCACTTCGCCACGATTTTCAAGGTATCCCCGGAAATTAAAGTTGATTGACAATAATCGGGCCAGCCCCTGCTTCGAGAAGACCCCCACAGACACCGACCAGGGGCAGATGAAAGAGAAGCACAACTCAGGAACTCCAAGTTTTAACGTTCAGTTCTGGAACAGCATCAAATTGACCCTCACTCCTTTGCATAAGCTTAGTCAAAGGATGTGCCTGGCAACTTCGGAGTTGGAACGCAACAAAATCCACAGGAATTCAGGAGTGACACACTTCACTGACGTAATTGCTTCGAAAAGTAGAGGTCAGGAAACGTGAAATGTCGAACCCTTCCACATCGTGATACAGAATCGAGCTCCAGATTCGTCCAACCCACGAGGTGGTAGTATCTCTGTGTCTTAGTATAAAACTAAGTGAAGTAGGTCTAACCCATAAGCAATCAAAACATAAGGCAGACAGCAAGTTCACACTTATATTCAAGAAAATACAGGGAAGCAGCAACTGGAGGGATCGTTACCTATCTGCATTGGTGGGCCGTAGACAGCTGTTGTGAGAGCACAAGGGGTCCAAACTGGTGCAGGCCTTGGACATCCTTGACTGAGAGAGGTCTTGAAGGTAGTGCTCGGCGGTAGTCTTGAGAAGACTGAGTCTGAGTCGGATATCCAGAAACATCCTTCCATAATGGCGTGGAGAGAGCAGTTACTATGCAGAGCCATTGTAGACGCTAAAATGCTCATGTCTCATGTGGATTGGAAGCTGTCGGGGGCAGTAACCCAGCGAAGGTGTAAGCCCATAGGAATGGTGGCTCTCATTCAGAAGGATAAAGTGGTGCGAGACACTTCCGCCCTGGATGTTGAGGAGAACTGAATGAAGAGGCGCTTGCGGAGACGGCGGCGATCTTAGAAGCAGCAAGAAAAATCTTCAAAGCCCTAACAGGGCAAAGCTGCAGGTCTTCATTGTCATGTGGCCCAAGGATTGTGGACAACGGTGGGATGGTAAAAGTACGATCGGGTTGTCCCGAAAACTGATTCTTCGCTACAAAATCCCAATGGAGACCGAGGAAGACTTTGCCATGCTTCTTCAGTTCAAACTGGACTCTGTTAATGTCCAAAGCGTGGAGTTCAGAAATCCGAGCAGCTGTAGCCAAGGCCACAAGGAAGAAGGTCTTGAAGGAGATCTTCTCAAAGTCCTTCTGAGCTAGGGGTTCATAGTCTGCCGAGGCCAAATGACGCAGCACCACAGATAAATCCCAAGCAGGAGGTCTCAAATACTGAAGCTCAGGAACCGTTGAGATCTTAGGGCCTGTGGTGGTAGCCAGGACCGAGTTGATCGCAGCAAGGTAAGTGGCCAAAGTGGAACCCTTGAGCTTCTTAGACGACCGCAAATGCTGCAGAAACTCAGCGACGATTTGAGGCGAAGTAGAAACAGGAGATGTAATGCCTCTGGACGTGCAATATCTCTCAAAACATTTCCACTTCTCATCATAAAAGTGAGCGGGTGGAAGTCCGATGAGCAGAAGTGATGGCCATAGCCACTCTCCGCGAATACCCCTTGGCGATTAAGGACTTGTGCAGATGCGCCAAACGTGCACAGACATGGTGTGAAGGGATACATGACGCCGATCTGAGTGAGGGTGTAACAGTAGGTCGTCCCGATCGCGAAGAGGAACTGCGTTTAGGTCTGCGAGCTGTGCGAGATCGAAAAACCAACTCCTGACTGGCCAGTAAGGCGCGACCAAAGTCAGTAGAATCTGCCTGGTCGATCAGAGTTTCTGGATGACTCTGGGTAGAAGAGCCGGAGGTGGAAAGGTGTAAGCGTTGAGTCGCTCCCACAAAATCGCCAGAGCGTCGAGATCCCACGCTAGTTGGTCTGGTATCGGCGAGACAAACTGTGGGAGCTGATGGTTGAACCGCATGGCGAATAGGTCGACTTGGGGCCTTGATAACGGGAAGACCAGTTCCTGAAAGATCTGTGGGTTCAATTGCCAATCCGTGGGAGACAGCCGATCGGAACGGGACAGCGCATCTGCGATGACATTCCTGACTCTGGGAATGTGTCTGGCTCGAGTATCGATGGCGAGGGAGTCAATCAGATGGAAGAACCGAAACGCCAACTGAAGAAGGTTCGCCGAACCCGTCGACCCAAGATGGTTGATGTACCAAACGACTGAGGAGTTGTCTGTCTGAATCAGCAGGGACGACCCCTAAAGTTCCATTGCCCAATGTCGAATGGCGAGAAGAACCGCCAAGAACTCGAGTTCGTTGATGTGCACCGACCACAGCCCGCTGTCTGATGATGAAGAAAGTGCGAACGAACAAGTGGTGCGTTGGAATGAACGGCATCAAACAAACTCTGGCGCAAACGTTCTGTTCGACAAGCCACCACTGAAGAAAAGGACGTAAGGGTTCGGGAAGACGAATCAACTCCTGGAGATTCTCTGAGACGAGATATGGATGCAGGAAATGCTGCAACAGGGGCAGTTGCAATTGTCGGAACTAGCCGTTGAATCTTCAGCCACCTGTCTTGGGGGACGAAAATCAGGCCCTGTGTGTGTCGAAAGTTGCTCCGATGAATTGAAGGGTCTGGGTCGGTGTTAGTTTGCATGAGAGCTAGGAAGCTGTCATATAATGAGGGTAGCATGGAGTGCTTGGGCGGATGGACAAGAGAGGCCTAGGGAAAAAGTTAACATCGTTCCACTCAGTGTCGAATCAAGAGAGAGAAGTGCATACCGTGAGATAGGATAAGTTTAAAAATTTATCTTGATATATATATTAAACGTTTTTTCTTTAGAAAGATGTCTGCCCGTAACCCCAATTTTTTATAGTAAGAATAGATGGTTTTTATAGAAAGCCCAACCTAACCCTAACATAATGCGAAATCTAAACCCTAAATCTTAACCCCTTGAAATAATCATAATAAATATAATACATTTCAAGCAGGGGTTACAGGAACTCTTACCTTTTCTTCATTTATATTTGTAACTATTCAGAAATAGTTGTTATCTTACTATATATATTTAAAGATGCATTCATGCTAGTGCTGTTTGTGGGCTAGCTATAACACTCTATAATATGTAGAAAAGTGTAACATGTATATTAGCTATGTTATGTTTCATAATCAAGTACTTAAAGGTGTTTATGTATATTTTCTGGATTTAATGAACCTTCTATATAATGATTGTCATAATTGTGCAAATAAACATCGCTGTCATCTGTAACGAGTAGCTTTGTGTTGTGTGTGCGCCATTCACCAACATCCACCCGATATCTGCTGCTACACTCACCTCAGCTGTGGTTCTCAGATATAGAGGGTTGTCAAGGAATCTGTCATTCTCAAACTTGTGTTTGCCCATGGTAGAACGCTGGTAGCTCCAGGTTGTCACGACCCTCTCCCCTCGATGACACGCCACCATGTTGTCCCAGTCGCTCTCCCGACATTGTTCTGAGGACAGATGAAGATCAAGACTCGCTTTGTACATCGCGTTTACATAATCAATGATACATAAACACATACTTATATCGGTTACACCTACTTGGGTTGTCAGTCCAGATTTGAGGAAGTCATCATACGTGTTATGCTCACAAATACCTGTTAAAAGGTGAAGATCCTCCGTTTTGTATCCCTTGTGATGAGAGAGTCACAGTCAAGCATGTCCTGCTTGACTGTGTTGAATTCTCCATCACAAGGGATAAATATTTCAATGTCAAATCAGTTAAGGATCTTTTCACCACTGTTCATTTTCATTTTATTCTTCGTGTTTTAAAAGAAATTGATTTAATTGATGAATTTTGATTAATATGTTCTGTATATAGATGTATTTTAATGATTGGTAGTTAAGATTAGGAACTTAGATTGTTAGTGGCTGTACCCTCAAAGGGGGTTAAAGTATTGTAAAATTATTGTCCTCCTGAGAGGGTACATTAGTCTAAAAACCTTCCAAGAAAATTTAAACTATTTTAATCGTAGTATATATGTTCTTTTAATTTGTGGCTAGATTACCTAAAATTGCTAACAGCTGAAGGGATGATGTAAATCCAGCTGTAAGTCCCCATGGTCCCTAGTATGGTGATCTACCTTTAGCTGTTGGCAATCTATAGCCTGTTTTCATATTGTATTGTCATCTATAGTTAATCTGTTTTAGATTCAATTACTAGTTTTAAATTCATATTTGTGATAATCTAGTTATATAACTGTCCTTCGTTGACAGGTTTTCATAATTTACTATGTAATAACAACAAGAAGACAAAGGTGATACCATTACTGCACTATTGAGATATCAGAATTACTTCACACAATGTATAAACACACTTTAGATGGCAATCAGAGTAACTATGACATGTCCACGTCCCTGGTGATCACTTTGCTAACACAGCAGGCAGACCACCTCCACACATAGATCATCATCATATTGCCATCAGGTCACAATCTTCGTATCAAGAATGATATAGGGTGGCTAGAAGAAAGCCAAATATCATAGTTCTGTCAAGCATGGAAATACTGAAACACATAACTGTCATCATATACCATCTTTCACATCCACACATTTATACCTCACAAATGCATTGCTGGAATAAGTCGGTAATAGACGTTTGTTGTAATTCTTAACATAGCTGCAATGGTGGGCATGCATGACTTCACAAAAAACACTTTAGCATATTTTCTTATTACACCAACAACAATATTCCATCTGTGTCAAGATTGCTGTTAATAACTGCCGTGGGACAAGGAAAACAAGAAGACAAAGTCATCAATATCCCCCGCAATGGCAAAATACTCTTCATGATTATGTCTACGAGTTTTGATTATGTCAAATATTTAGGTGTGTATATAGAAAAGTGGAAGGAGAGTATTGAAAGGTTTTTAAAGTTCTGCTCCAGAAAATAGCACTATCAAAAATTTCAGTCTAAGTCAAACTTGTTGCCATGGAAATGCCAAAACTATTTTATTCAGAAATCCAAAACTACCAAAAGGCACCACCACCAGATCTATGAATGTGCCAAGTTTGGTGAAGAAATAGTGAACGGTTTTAGAGTTCTGCTCCGGAAAAGTGCACTACCACTAATTTCTGTTTTAGTCAAACTTGTTGCCATGGAAATGCCAAAAATATTTTATTCAGAATTCCAAAACTACCAAAAAGGAACCAGTACACCACCAGACCAATCTATGTGCCAAGTTTGGTGAAGAAATAGTGAACGGTTTTAGAGTTCAGCTCCGGAAAAGAGCACTACCACCAATTTCAGGCTAAGTCAAACCTGTTGCCATGGAAATGCCAAAAATATTTTATTCAGAATTCCAAAACTACCAAAAGGCACCAGTACACCAGACCAGATCTATGTTTGGTGAACAAATATTGAACGGTTTTTAGACTTCTGCTCCAGAAAAGACAAATGTGCATGGATCTGGATGAAGTCCATTTTAATATCCCCTGCAAAAGCAGCGTTGCGGGGGGATAAAAATAGTTTATTCTGAATTCCAAAACTACCAAAAGGCACCAGTACACCACCAGATCTATGTATGTGCCAAGTTTGGTGAAGAAAATAGTGAATGGTTTTAGAGTTAAGCTCGGAAAAGACAAATGTGCACCCATTTAATACCCATAAAGCAGCGTTCTATGGGGAAAATTAATTGTTCTCGTCCGCGATATGGCTGAAATATTGCTGATGTGACAAAAATTTTACTCACTCACACACCCACTCACATAGCGCACCATTTAATATGCTCTAACTCACTCACACACCCACTCACATACCATACCATTTAATATGCTCTAAACTTAAATTCATCTCAAGGCAGATGAAAATTGAAGGATCCTTAATGAAAATGATGCCTTGTCTGGCTTTGTAATCCAAGTTGAAATGATCTAATGATCTTCACTGAAGACAATTAATAAATTGAGGAAATATTTACTTATCCCAAGTCTATTTCTCCAACTCCAGTGAGTAAAAAGTATTCATCACAACCAATATACATAATGTCATAAATAAATTGTCCTACGCCACACTGAAGACTTTATTTACCTTAAAACATGTGGCAATAAATTCATCATTTGTCAGTTTTGGGTGGAAAAGGACACAAGGTAATCAGGTATGTGTTTTATGTTTATTATGAAACATGTTTCTTTTTGTCACAGGCCATGGTAGCTGCCATGACCAGTATTTGTGTCTCCAGAACCTCTTTACCTGCTGTGAATTCTGTGACGGGGGGCATCATGTGCTGGTCAAGTTTACGACCAGCTTTCTTGGACTGTTTCTTGTTATAGGATGCCCGGCCCATACTCTTGTTGTGTTTGTCATGTACTGTGGAGAAGGACAACACCAGGCTGTCTTGACCTGCAACAGCATCACTGGCTTACAAACAATGGCACCATATCATCTCCACAGTCAGCTCAGGACACTGCCAATGCAGCGGTCAGTTGCTCCACAAAGCTGTCTCTACCACTACAATAGTCTATTTTAGACTTACATTTGTCTCACAATGCTAAGAGTACTATCACCCTTATGGGTTCTGACTATCTCCTTGATTTACAGAAATGGGGTCCTAGTCACCTCCAATACTGAATTTGTTCTGTACAGTAAGATTTGATGCTTATTCCAGGACCTTCATATTCCACGTCAACCATTTGATACAATGAATATCGTTTAAGTGAGTGAGTAAGTTTAGTTTTACGCCGCACTCAGCAATATTCCAGCCATACGGCGGTGATCTGTAAATAATCGAGTCTGGACCAGACAATCCAGTGATCAACAGCATCAGCATCAATCTGCGCAATTGGGAACCGATGACATCGTCAACAAAGTCGAGCCTGACCACCCGATCCCATTAGTCGCCTCTTAGCGGAATATCATTATGTGTCCCTTGGGCGATAACTTCTGCTTTTCTATGTCCATTCTATACAGTTGTGCATACAGGATACACATTTCTCAAACATGTAAAACCCTGTTAATAGTAGAGAATATGGGGCTCTTGCCCTAAGCAATAAATCTCATGCTAAATGTATTGACTGAGAAGCACAAATTCATTGCTCTAATAGCATGCCTGCTATTATTCTGCAGTCTAGTGGAGAAGACATCAATGTCCTGCAGTATCTATTTTTTTTCTAATATTTATACAAACATTGGTATACCATGACTGCTGAGCATCGGCAGTGTTTTATAAGATAGTACTGTATACACATGAACTTCATTATGATAGAGCTGCAAGAGTTATCCCCCATTATGATAGATTCACACCAAGGAAAATGGCTGATTGTCTGCTGATGAAGTCATATACAACATTATTTCCCTGCTTTCAAGTTGATCATTAAATGATGTGAAGCAGGGCAGACTGTTACCTGCGCTGACAATATTTTGACCATTTTTGCCATAGTGACGTATGCGAGTTGGTGGGGCCTTGTGTCCTTCTCTCAGTCGCAACAACCTCCCGCCTCCATCTGGTTGGTCAAATATCCATACCTGTGGAACACAATCAGTGAGTTGGATTCAGTGCTGTTATAAACAGTATTTAGATTATTATGATAGTCTTGACACACTGATGACCATTATGAAATCTGTGTACTGATTACCAGCTTAATTCTGTATTGTGGTTTGCAAGGTTTGTAATAAGGGACCGTCCATAATTTATGGCTACCATTTTGTTCTGGGGAGCTAGGGGGGGTCATCAATTTTGTACACATGTACTAGGGGGAATCAGCAATTTTGTACATAATTTTTTTTTAAAATTATGTTTATAAATTATGGGAAGGGGAGGGGATGGCAATCAGAGTAACTATGACATGTCCACGTCCCTGGTGATCACTTTGCTAACACAGCAGGCAGACCACCTCCACACATAGATCATCATCATATTGCCATCAGGTCACAATCTTCGTATCAAGAATGATATAGGGTGGCTAGAAGAAAGCCAAATATCATAGTTCTGTCAAGCATGGAAATACTGAAACACATAACTGTCATCATATACCATCTTTCACATCCACACATTTATACCTCACAAATGCATTGCTGGAATAAGTCGGTAATAGACGTTTGTTGTAATTCTTAACATAGCTGCAATGGTGGGCATGCATGACTTCACAAAAAACACTTTAGCATATTTTCTTATTACACCAACAACAATATTCCATCTGTGTCAAGATTGCTGTTAATAACTGCCGTGGGACAAGGAAAACAAGACAAAGTCATCAATATCCCCAGCAATCGCAAAATACTCTTCATGATTATGTCTACGAGTTATGATTATGTCAAATATTTAGTTGTGTATATAGAAAAGTGGAAGGAGAGTATTGAAAGGTTTTTAAAGTTCTGCTCCAGAAAATAGCACTATCACCAATTTCAGTCTATGTCAAACTTGTTGCCATGGAAATGCCAAAAATATTTTATTCAGAATTCCAAAACTACCAAAATGTTTTAGAGTTCTGCTCCGGAAAAGACAAATGTGCACGGACGGACGGAGTCAATTTTAATACCCCCCACAAAACGCGTTGCGGGGGATAACCAGTGGTTGACAGCATGACCAAAATCTGCCATCTTTGGGATATGACATGAGTCTCAGAGCCTGACAATGCTGCCTTCGTTAGTTTATTGTTTCATGACAAGGATAGTACAAAGTACAGTAGCACAAACACACACTGTATAAACACACTTTAGATGGCAATCAGAGTAACTATGACATGTCCACGTCCCTGGTGATCACTTTGCTAACACAGCAGGCAGACCACCTCCACACATAGATCATCATCATATTGCCATCAGGTCACAATCTTCGTATCAAGAATGATATAGGGTGGCTAGAAGAAAGCCAAATATCATAGTTCTGTCAAGCATGGAAATACTGAAACACATAACTGTCATCATATACCATCTTTCACATCCACACATTTATACCTCACAAATGCATTGCTGGAGTAAGTATATAGAAAAGTGGAAGGAGAGTATTGAAAAGTTTTTAAAGTTCTGCTCCAGATATGCAAAGATATTTTATTCAGAATTCCAAAACTACCAAAAGGCACCAGTACACCACCAGATGTATGTATGTGCCAAGTTTGGTGAAGAAATATTGAACGGTTTTAGAGTTCTGCTCCGGAAAAGAGCACTACCACTAATTTGAGTCTAAGTCGAACTTGTTGCCATGGAAACGCCAAAACTATTTTATTCAGAATTCCAAAACTACCAAATGGCACCGGTACACCACCACATCCATGTATGTGCCAAGTTTGGTGAAGAAATATTGAACGGTTTTAGAGTTCTGCTCCGGAAAAGACAAATGTGCACAGACGGACGCATTGCGGGGGATAAAAATGTAACACACCAGTGACATATGGTTTGAGCTGGTCATCTGCAAAAGAGCTATCCAATCACTACCACAGTTTGATGACCCATCTCCTCAAAAAAGGGACATCCGACACAAGCCATGAGTCAGTGGTTAAGCACAACTAATAAAATATCTCAACATAATAACACTAAAATCTACTGAACATGGGACTTAGAACCCAATATTGAGCCAATACATCTTGGCACCGATTGGAAGCAATGAACCAAGTCACCTTAAGTGTGTTGTCTGCAGAAGAGGTGATCATGAGAGGTTCTGACGGTAGACAACGCATCCCAGTCACAGATGATGAGTGAGCATCTCGGATCTGACTCTTTAACTTCCTGTCTTCCAGATCCCACACTGCAATATGTCCTGCAGCACTTCCTGTCACCATTATTGGCTGTCCATCTGAATAAAGACAAACAGAGACGTGAGGGAGGGAGGGACCATGGTTTAATGCCACTTTTAGCAATATTCCAGCAATATCATGGCAGTGGACACCAGAAATAGCCTTCATGCATTGCAGCCATGTGGGGAATCGAACCCGGGTCTTTGGCATGATGAGTGAACGCTTTAACCATCAGGCTACACCACAGCCCCAAGAAAGAAGAGAACAATGACAGCAGGCTTATTTCTAACAACCATATTTTAGGGAGTCAATGAGTTTGGAAATTTTAAATATCAATTGTATATTTATATACTTATCCTATCTCACGGTATGCACTTCTCTCTCTTGATTCGACACTGAGTGGAACGACGTAAACTTTTTTCCCTTGGCCTCTCTTGTCCATCCACCCAAGCACTCCATGCTACCCTCATTATAAGACAGCTTCCTAGCTCTCATGCAAAGCATGCGGCATGCACCACTAGCTACCCACGTGACTATCTCCGAATCATCATTTATATTTAAAATTTCCAAATTTTTAAACTTATCTATCTCACGGTATGCACTTATCCCACGGTCGGACGGCGGGGACGAAGATACCTTGTGTCTTGTCAGTGCAAAAGTAGAACTGTGTAGATTGGAAACAACTCTAGATAGCGATGCACAAGGGAGGCCTGTTATGACTAGAGCAACTCCTATGCAACTTACTAAGCATAACGTCTCGGTGAAAGCATGTGTATCGTAGAGAGCCGGTCTAATTCTGGGGAAGGTCGACAGTCCAGCGAAAGTCTAGGTGGAGGGGAGAGGACAGGCGAAGCGTGATCTGGCAAACTGTCATTCGATCTGGCAGGCCTCGACGAAGCAGAAGATCGAGGTAGCTGGACGCAAGAAACAATACTTCTTTTCGCCGAATGGGAAGGAAACAGCGAAGTAACCACTGACAAGCGTTGAGGCGAGGTAGACTGGTTCCTCTCACTACTGGACGAGCGACGAGAGCGAGAGTGGCTTCTGCGAATGAGCTCTGCGCAGTCAGACGTAGAGATTAGCTGATTCTTGTCCGAAACAGATAAGACAAGTTGCCGAGATAACTGGTCCGGAGAACGAGAGACAGAGAGCGTAGTTTGAAGGTCCTGCTATGTAGAGGTATCCTGAGGGGTGGTAGTAGTCTCGACAACCACTACTTGGGACGTGGTCGAAGACGAAGGGCTTGGGCTGGAATGTTGAGAGCCCAACAAATTCCGAAGGTCTTCCGATAAGTAAAAATCTGACGACGCTCTCATGAAATCCTCTTATTCGAGGGAGGGGACTGTGACCGCCGAGCAGACAAAGTAGGACGCTTAAACTTGCCTTTCTTGGAGGGACTGGGTCCGTCAGTGAAGCAGCACAACGAGCTGTCAACAAAACGACAAGCGCAAGCCCGAGTGTAGTCACCAAACGCCTCGAAGGTAAAATCCTTGCATTTATCGCAACGAGAGTCCCATTTACACTATCCCACACAGTCCACATAATATGCATGTGGATCACTCGCAGAGAACACTTTATTACACTGGGAGCATTTCTTCCTCTTTTTTGGCTGGTCAACTTGCCCATGTTGTAGACTAAGTTGAAAACGTTGAGCAAAGCAAAACACGTTCACACTCATGTCCGACAAGAAGGAGAATGATGATTCAGAGATAGTCACGTGGGTAGCTAGTGGTGCATGCCGCATGCTTTGCATGACAACTAGGAAGCTGTCTTATAATGAGGGTAGCATGGAGTGCTTGGGTGGATGGACAAGAGAGACCAAGGGAAAAAAGTTTACATCGTTCCACTCAGTGTCAAATCAAGAGGGAGAAATGCATACCGTGAGATAGGATAAGTTTAAAAATTTAGCTTTACACCACTGTGAAGTGTTAATTAGTTATGTCCCAATTGCATTCAGGAAGTTTAAAGTAATGCAGGTGTTGGACATTTAGCACTTTGACAAACTCATGAGCTAGAAACATAAGATGCTGAATCTTGAATTCAAACCTGGATATTTCTCAGGCTAAACGGATGGAACTCTGGCCATGAAATGGTGACACTTTAGGTCAATGTGCCTACATGTTTTGTTTGCTGTTAGCAATATTCTTAAAACCTGGATGTAGTTTGTACTGTAATGTGGGAAAGTAAACCCTGCAAGGCACTACCTGTCCTGAATGAGATGGTAGTAACTGGTCCCCAGTCCTGAGTGAACTTCATCAGTATCTCGTCCGCCTTGAAATTGTGGAGGATGATCCTGCCGTCTGCCAGACCACATGCCACGATGTCCACTGCTGGAGCCTAGTGGACACAAGGTAATGGTTTAAACCTTATAATGATATCAGGGTTGTGTGTACACTATGCACAAATGTAGAGAAAGGACGCAAAAAAAACCCCAAATACCGCATCTGGAGAGATGCACAAAAATACGAGAGTGTATCTACAGCACGTCAAGAGTATTTTTCTGTGTCAGTTATTTCACCCATCAGTCATGTCCTCATGATCACTGGTTCATTTCAGGCTCTGAGTGAGTGAGTGAGTGAGTTTAGTTTTACGCCACACTCAGCAATATTCCAGCTATATGGCGGCGGTCTGTAAATAATCGAGTCTGGACCAGACAATCCAGGGATCAACAGCATGAACATCGATCTACGCAATTGGGAACCGATGACATGTGTCAACAGTCAGTGAGCCTGACCACCCGATCCTGTTAGTCGCCTCTTATGACAAGCATGGGTTACTGGCTACTAATATTCTAAGCCAGATCTTCATGGGTCTTCAGGCTCTGAAGTAATTATCTGTAGGTCTAGTACATTACACTGTTACCATACTTTACAGGACCCTCATATCACGGGCACGGACCTGTAACACTATTTGATGGGGTCAACTGGACCGGTACTTTTACAAGTGAAGCTAAAACCCTGGACATATAGCAGAAACAGGGAGACAAACAAGGTATCATCCTGGATTTGGTCCTGAATTTCCTGCTGGAAGACCTGCGTGGACCAGTTCTCCTTCAGAATACCAACAAGGAGACAAATATGGAGTTCTTGGAACACCCTGCCCTTGACTCCCCACAGGAAGAAAACCATGGTCTACCAGAGACCTATTCTTTCTTATGAGTCCCAAAGGAGATAGGATAGGATGCTGGGGGCATACTCTGCCCTGGAATCACCTGGGGAGGACAAGCATGAGGTGCTAGTACTATCTGTTGTACCTGGTAATCATCCCAGTGGTACACAGTTTCCTCATCACTAGATAGCCATACCTGTTCCAGCACCAGGATGGGGGAGTTCCAGCTGTTGAAGGAGTAGATGAGTTTGTCAACGCGGATGTTCCACAGCTGCATGACGCCCTGCTGGCTGCCCAGGAGGATCTTGTTCAGGTAGGTGTTGGGGTGGAGCAGAGTCGTCACACTGAACAAGTCGTTATCAAAATCCATCTCCAGGTAGATTTCTGAAAAACAGTATTCAGATAAACTGATTAAGTAAGAATATCCAATTTACCCATGTATTGAAGTACACTTAGATTGCCTACTCTAACTAACCTAAAGAATCTCAGGAAAGTAACCATGCTTCCTGGACTCCTACAGGAAAGTAACTTTGTTTCTTGGACTCCTACAGGGAGGTAACTGTGCTAAAAGCTGTTTTGTCACTTTCACAGAGTTCTAGAGAAAAAACCCCTTACTGTACTGCTTTTTATAATATATAAACATGAGAACAATTGTTTATCACCTCAAGATAATGGGAATGTAATAAAAAAGAAGATGCAGTTTTCATATGCTTCAATACTGTTTTGCTCTAGAAATTCTGCATGTTGTCCCATGAACATTCCAGAGTGTTTGTTTGTTGTTTCATGCTGCACTCAGCAATCTTCCAGCTATATGTAAATAATCCAATCAAGTCTAGACCAGACAATCTAGTGACTGCCATCATGAGTGTCAATATATACAATGGGGATATGATAGCATTCATCAACCAAGTCAGCGAGCCTGACCACCCAATCCTGTTAGTCACTTCTTACGACAAGCATGGGTTACTGAAGGTCAATTATAAGCACATTCAAACGTGTGTGATATGACCAGTAAACAGTTGATAAGCTGGACAAGCCATGCTCTAGAACAAAGAACACATATTCATATTATGTCGCTAAAGCACTCCTTATACGCAGCTGAGTAGGAACACAAACGTACTCCAGCCAGGAGTAACGTCACCGATGTTGGTGTACTCAAACCGATAATGAATAAAGGACATAAAATAATTTCACAGAATAACTGGCTATTTGAAATATTCCAAAGAAACGTACACCTGGCAAGAATGATAACAAACCGAAACTTCCAGTAATACAGAGTTACTTCCCTTGATTGGAATTGCGACTACAGTCTCTCTGAGCCAGCCTAGCTTACCTTGTGATTCAATATCCCAGACAATGATGTGACTGTCTTCATCCACTGATATCAGATGTTCCCCAAAAGGCAGAAGTATATGGACATCACACTCATGACCCTCATAGGAACACACAGCCTGGGGTATAGAAATATTGAAACATGATTCTAAAAATATTACATCAAAACAAATCAATTGCTTGAAGTGGGTGAATCTGCTAAAGATTTCTGGTGTAATTTTCCCTTGACACCAAACAGAATTAGTTTCTGAGGTTAGTCAAGACTGGGTATTCTTTAACTGATGTTCTATATATGAACAGTATTTCAGCACGTCACTGCTACAGTGCATGGCAGTTATACATATCTACAGGTGATGGCAGTACACAATAATTACAAACCAAAATAAGAGATATTGTGAAATACCTTGCGTTCATTAACCCATACACTTGGAATCTATTACTATTTGTATAGTGAGTGAGTGAGTGAGTTGGGTTTTACGCCGCTTTTAGCAATATTCCAGCAATATCACGGCGAGGGAACACCAGAAATGGGCTTCACGCATTGTACCCATGTGGGGAATCGAACCCGGGCCTTCGGCGTGACGCACTATTTGTGTAAATATTGAAGGCTGCATTAAACAACATTTACTTCAACATCCTAATTATACCTTTCTCCCTTTCTTGAAGGCCTGGATAGTTTTGCCACAAGCTGAGAACACATGTTTGGCATCAGCTGCTAGGCAGGTAATATCAGTGGGATGAACATCACCTGGAGGAAAGAAAACATCAGTAAGTGAGTGAGTTTAGTTTTATGCTGCACTCAGCAATATTCCAGCTATATGGTGGCGGTCTGTAAATAATCGAGTCTGGACCAGACAATCCACTGATCAACAGCATGAGCATCGATCTGCGCAATTGGGAACCGATGACATGTGTCAACCAAGTCAGCGAGCCTGACTACCCGATCCCGTTAGTCGCTTCTTACGACAAGCATGGGTTACTGAAGATCAACATTCTAACCCGGACTTTCACGGGGAGATGGGGATGATGATGATGATAACTGATTAATTAGGAAAACTGGAGTCTGCGCGCGTGTGTGTGATTGTGGCTTCTACTGTCTGGACTGTCTGCCAGTGTTAAAGACACACTACTCAGGCACTTTGTACTGACTGAGCCGACCACTTCTTGTTAAATCCCTTCAATGCCAAATACCAGGCTGGATAACAACAACTACCACCAATTTCTTTTGGTATGACAGGACATGGCACCATCGACAGAAATTATCCACTGGACCCTGTTGGCAGTCAATTGATTAAATGATTGAAGGCAACTTACTGACACTGACAATACCAAGCTTAGAGCACTGAAAAAAAGAAAACAATATTCAATTAATTATAGTCCCAACAATTGCAAACATATGTTGAAGCATCATTCTACTTCCATTCACCCATGAATGATCATAATAACCAACAACAGTTAATAGCAACTTTCACTTTAGTTCTCATGTTGTCATGAAACGTGACTGCCACCATAATATCCAGAAAGAACAGTTCAGGAAATATCTTCTTTGAGAGGCATTTTAGAGGGTGTAAGGTTTAGGAAATAACTTCTACACCATTATACACAGTAGGTTTGCCATTGCCAAAAAAACTAAATGTTCATCTGTAATTAATAGAACCTCTTGTACCTAGCTTCATCATGTTGATGACAGGGACAGCAATGTCAGATTTTTAGGGCTAGGTACCCCTTTCCAAACAAACATCCCTTCATGATCCTTAGGCGAAGGGTTGGGTACAAGTTTGCTTATCAAAAGCCTCTTTACAATTCTTAGGATAGGTAGAATTTGGGTTACACTAAAGGAATTGATCTACTGTAATGTCAGTACACTGCATTTATTATTCTTATGATATAAATCAAGTTTCGCAGAGAAAATGGCTACTACTTATGTGAATAAAGATGACCTGATACATATGATGATGATTTTTATGGAGTGAGTGAGTATGGTCTTACACTGCTTTTGACAATATTCCAGCAATATCACGGCAGGGGACACCAGGATTATTATGGAGAAGCATGTACAATGTGAATGACCCCCCCCCTAAAATTTATGTACAAAGTAAGTGATGCCCCCCCTTGCATGTCATGTACAAAGTCAGTGATGTATACAGAAACGTACCTTGGTCATAATGAGAATGCAGAAATGTACCCTAAGATGATTCCATTCCCATTGTGTCGTATTCTTGACCATAACTGTCATACTGTTGTATTAGGTACATTTGATTGCGTTATGTAAGTAATGAGAATACACAGTAACGGATATTTCGCGATGCACATGAATACCACTCGCAATCAGTTGAACGGGAACAACTACATACGGTTTCGGTTTTTGGATTGTGGACTATGGACTCGTCCGCCTTTTAGGGTACCGGGTACGTTTCTGTATTTTGACTTTGTTTCGGGTACATATCTGTATACAGAAACGTATCTGGGGTACGAATCTGGGGTACGTATCTGTAGTACCTGTGCCGACAACGACCCCCTTCAGCGTCAGTGCCCCCCCTCCCCTTTCCCAAATTTTGAAAGCATAATCTTTACAAATTTGTAAAAAGTGACCCCTTCCCCCCGAACAAAATGGGTGACCCACCTCCCCCGAACAAAATGGGTGACCCCCCAATCAACTATAGCTGAAGGGGTCGTTGTCGGCACAGGTACTACAGATATGTACCCAAGGTACGTTTCTGTATACAGACATGTACCCTAAACAAAGTCAAACTACAGAAACGTACCCAGTACCCTAAACGACGGATGAGTCCATATTCCGCAACCCAAAACCGAAAGCGTATGTAGTTGTTCCCGTTCAGCTCATTGTGAGTAATGTACGTTGTGCACCGTGAAATATTCGTTACTGTGTATGCTCTTATATATATATATATATATAACCATCAAATGCATCTAATACAATTAACAGTATGACAGTTCCGACCAAGAAAACTCCACAATGCAGATTGGAATCGTCCAAGGGTACGTTTCTGTATTCTGATTTTGGCTACGGTACATTTCTGTATACGGAAACGTACCTGGTGTACACATCTGTAGTACCCGTGCCGACAACGGCCCCTTCAGCTCAACTATAAATTATGAACGGTCCCTAAGCACTATATTTTTAGCATAATTAGTGATGTCATCGACGGTCTATGTTGGCTAATTAACTGAAGACGTACTCCACTGAATTAGCATTATCATATTAACTTTGTTGGCGGTATGTTTAACTCACATTGTATGTGTGGAATGATTTGCCAACGCTTGTGCACACATAATTTTCTTTTTCCCTTTGGTGATGCCGTACAACAAGTGGAATGTCATTGCTCACATAGCCCAAGGCCCTATATCCAGAGAATATTTTGCTAGCACTTGGCATTGTCGTTTAGCTTTACAAGAGAAACAACGTAACTGAAGATAAATCACATAGCAAATTTGTTTTGATTCACCACGTGCAATTTCAACCGGAAGCAGTATTCTGGCCGGCAAATATTTTACGACAACGTATTAATTCCTAGTAATAAGTATCAGGGCATTATCAACGACTTATGAACCGCCCTAGAACCGACATCGATTCATAGAACGATACAAAATATGATATTACTTGTGACTTATATTGAGGGTTAAATGACGTAAACGCACGTACAGCGCCAACGACTAAGGGGCCCAGCTAATGCCAACACCTGAAGCGCGGCGAGGAGCGCAAGCACTCTGTGGCAGGCAAACCAGTCGAACGTATGCAGTTACCTATTTATGGCAGTTAGGTATGATCTAAAATTGGACCTGACGTTGCTGGTGTCAGCAGAAACATCTATATTATCCTCTCTATGCAAACGTTTGATATTGGAAACTATTGATCATGATGAAGTGTATGTATACCAACTGTCTCAGTGAAGACATTTCAAGCAATGACAGTTATGTTGAAGTGAAAACTGTCCTTCCAAACGCAGGCGCACTGAAGAAATTGAAATCGAAACTGAAAATAAAATGGAAAGGAAATGGGGAGGCAGCTTTCCATCGACCTTGTTGGAATGACCTGTTGAAGTCATCACGCGCGAGAAAGATATATCCAGATCTACCTGCTTTGTCAGCAGAAGAAAAATGTTTAATAAAGCAAGCCTCAAAGACAGCAGAGTTCTTTGATTCGAGAAACACAGTGAAAGTAAAAGGAGCTAAATGTGCAAAACTCATCAAGTCATCTAAGCATTGCATAGCATTTACTGGTACGGTTAAGAGTGGTCATGATAATATATCTATCCATTTACTGAAAAAGCACTGTAAGCTTTTCATCAACTATGTTGTTAGCAGTCACAATTCAACCAGCAAAACAGTAATAGCCAAATGCTGGTGGGCATTTACTTAGTTTGCCAGGTCCTCCTCACAATCCCTGAACCATATTATTTTCCTTTCCACCCAGCTCTAATTGAATGCAAAAGCCCTAAATCAGGGATAATCTACATCATTCAGTCTTCTATTCTCCCTGCCTAAATGAAGCAAGTCTATGTCGCTCAGGTTCTGAGTCTCTCACCCTACTGGGCTCCTTTTTAATGTAAATGGAGTCTGTATCAGAATTATATGTATTCAGTCTAGCATTCAGTATTTGGTCTAGCATATACTCTCTGAAATCTACTGTTAATATTTTAATGCAGGGGTACTTTATTGCCATGTTGATTATTACCAGTTATCATGGTATCTGTTGCAGGAGCAGGCATTTCAACTTCTGCAGGTATTGGTGATTATCGTGGGAAGAGTGGAAAATGGACGAAACAAGATCATGATGCAGTGGACATGGATGCAGTAATGGGGACATCAGGAGAACCGCTAGATGAGGAAGAACCTGAAGTAGTCACAAAGAAATTTAAAAGATCTGATAGTCTTGACAATGATGGTATGTGTTCAGTCTTAGTGATACCCATTTGCACAACCCGTGAAGATCTGGGTTAGAATTGGTCTTCAGCAACCCATGCTTGTCATAAGAGGCGACTAACAGGATCGGATGGTCAGGCTTGCTGACTTTGTTGACACATGTCATCTCATCCCAATTGCGTGGATCGATGCTCATGCTGTTGATCAGTAGATTGTCTGGACCAGGCTCGATTATTTACAGGCCGCTGCCATATAGCTGGAATTGAGTGTGGCGTTAAACAAAAAACAACCAACCATTTGCACTCTTAAGATTTGAAATCTAGGACATGGTGAATCAGCATGGTCGGTATTAGTGGTGGCTTGGATTAGTCCCTCCTGACTCTGGCACTTAGCAGGGTTTCAGTTAGTTTTCTGTTCAAATGAAAAACTGGAAATAAAGCACATAATCAAGATATAATCTTCATATTTTCTTTTCCAGTCAAAGAAGAGGTTATGAAAGAAGAGCCTGAAGGTGTGTCATACGAATGTCTCCGCCCAACCTACACCCATGAGGCAATGCAGAAACTAGTGGAGAAGGGATACCTCAAGTATATCATTAGTCAGAATGGAGATGGGCTACATGGCTTGTCTGGTGTAGCAGCTGATAACATGTCAGAATTGCATGGCAATGTGTTCATCGAAATCTGTGAAAAATGTAACACACGCTACAATAGGCCATTCTACACAATGGATGATGCAGGAAGTCAGTATTATGAGGAAATGGAGGATCGTGGGACATCTACAGTATCAAAGCCACCTCATGCCAAGAAGTGTGATAAGTGTGGACTAAGTCACCGAACTGGACGCAGATGCGATAATAAGGTGCGATTTTAATTATCAGTTAGGTACAGTGTGTGAAATAGCCACTGGCCTGCTAGCCCATGACTAGTAAAAATCCAGTCGGGCCAGTAGATCTCTGGCCCGACTGACTAGTGCATTTTCATGGGGTTATTTTGTAAATATATCTCTCTCTCCGACTTGCTTAGTTATTATTCACTTGTAAATCATGCAAGATTATGGTCTGATAAAAATTTCATCATATTAGCAACTTAATGATGAAACCTGTGTCATGCTGATAATATCTCCTCTAATTTTGTAATTTTTGCTTTGCTTCTACATTAAAATTTTGGGATAGTGAAATATTTTGTGGGCTAGTAACTTTCAGACATAGCTAGCCCGACTGGCTAGCAAAATTTGGAAACTATTTAGCACACTGGTTATGTATAATTTCTAATCTTGTATGAAAGACCTTCAAAGTTAGGCATGTAGATGGTGATAGTGGTTGATTTTACTGATATATAAAACAGGCTTTATTGAGGCTTCTGAGTATATACAGGATTGGCACTGGGTCTGTTATCATTCTCTTGCATATTCTGTGAATTGAACCATATCCCTTCATGAATTCAATTTGTTATTCATTATCAATAGAATAGAATATTCTTGAATGTTTTGAAAAGTAGTGTTTTGTAAACATTTCTGAAAAATTACTTAATCGTCATGAGATTTCACTTAATGAAGTGAAAGTCAATTTATCGGTGTTTTGTATAAGTCTTCATTAGGTTTATCATGTATAATAATGCATTAATCTTAGACCATATGAATACATTGATGCATAATTGGCAGGACTGCAAGGGATATCTCAACGACTCCATCATCAACTTTGGTGACCACCTGGAAGACGACATCCTTGACCGAGCTATGCATCATTCAGAACAGAGTGACCTGATGCTGTGTCTGGGGTCTACACTGACGGTTACCCCCGCTAACTCTCTGGTGGAGATGACCAAGGAGCGACACAGGCTGGCTATATGCAATAGGTAACATTTCTCCTTCCTTCATTCCTTGGTACCCGTGAAGATCCGGGTTAGAATTGGATCTTCAGTAACTCATGATTGTTGTAAGAGGCGACTAATGGGATCGGGTAGCTTGTCATTGGTTTACAAATGTCATCGTGTCCCACTTGCGTAGATCAATGCTAATGATGTTGATTAGTGGGTTGTCTTTTCCAGACTCGATTATATACAGACCGTCACCACATAGCTGGAATATTGCTGAGTGCGGCGAAAAGCACCAAAGCAAACCGTATCCTTCATTCCTTGATGTAAACATGTGTGACACGTTGTTTGAGGGCCTGCTGTTTGTTGCAGAGTTATGACTCTTTGTCTTGTCAGAATCCTTTGTGAGTTCGAATCTCAGATCAGCCCAGGTTGTCTTTCTGGATAAGTCTGGAGAGAACACTCTATCATAGGCTTCATCGAAGTGGTAAACTCATAAGATCTGCATTACATTTGGCTTTCATTCCTTATTTAGTTGACATGCTGTTATGTAACTATGGTAACTTAAAATCTGTCTGAAGGGTGTTGAACCTGTCTTGCCAATGTTTTCTCAAATGATTCCATGTCAAATTTTGCTTGTTAAGGATGCATAAAAGCATCCACATTTTGATACAGAGATGAAAGTTTCAAATCTGTGATTGGGATGTTTATCAACGTTGACCAATACAATCGGGATTAATGTCTCTGTGTTGACATCCTGTCTTCAACTTGAATGTCTTGTGTTCCAGACAGAAGACTCACATGGACAAGAAGTTGGGTCATGGTGTGCGCGTGTTCGGGGACTGCGATGTGTTTATGAAGGAGGTGATGACGGGAGTGTTGGATGACGAGGAGCTGACCACATGGGAGGAGGGAAGACAACAGAGGATGAAGCACTACGACAGTCAGAGGACTCCAGTGTGATTAGGACTGAAAAGATCATGTAATCTCCTGGTAGTGCTGACAGAAGATTTGTTTGTTAACTGTTGTAACTCTCCTGACATGACAAGGCTGTGCATCCACTTCTGGACCATAATGTGGACTCTCTCAGGAAATCATCACATTAAAAACCATGTGTTGTTTGTGCAGTTATACATTTTCAAATGTTTTTTGTTCCATATGGTTGATTGTTGTGTTTGGTATGCACCAGTTGTGTACGTTTATTTCTGACAGCAGGAGCAGAGTCTTTGAAGAAACTCAAGCATTGTTAGAGGCATGTGACAACCAGGGCCCCTATTCTCGAAAGTGTCCCAGCTAAGACAGATCCTAAGTAGTTAAGACAGAAGTTAGGACATCCTACCGTTAGGATAAGACCCATTCTCAAAACGATCCTATCCCTGTCCTAACTTGTGCTACCTATCCTAGCAAGGATAGCGAGCTCTTCAGTAGGTGAGATAGAAAAACCCTCATTAAGTTGGGGATTCCCTAAATATTACCCATGATTCATTTCATAAAAAACACATAATATGAGCAAATTCAGCATTCGATGGACTTAGTAGATCTAGAAAAAATTATTCGATATTTTCATCACATTATATAGTAGTTTTGAAGTCTTTGAAAATTCATTTTTTGACAATTCGATAACATATTTTTCCTTCAGAGTTTGAAAGTCTGCAAAAAAACAATAAGGATCTTAAAGATGTGTGCAAAAAATATTTTCATTGTATTTGTTTTTTTGTTTATGAAAATCATCATTTGACCTCTCATTATGCATCATCTCACCAAGGAAGTATATACGTCTTTGATCTCACAAACTGAAAAATTCACCTAGGAAATAAACAGGAGTTACTTCCCCTATCAAGTTGGCCTTGACATTGACATTTCACGGCAATGTGACTGGAAAGAGCAATGTTGTGATTAAAAAGGTCGAGAATAGGTAAGAATTGAACAAATCTATTTTGTAGATCTAAAGAATATGTGCATCACAACAAGTGTGTCTATTCATTACCGATAAATGGATAATATAAACTCAAAAAACTCTTCATAACACATCAAAACTGTGTGCTGTTGTAAATTCAAATGTTATTTAGGTGAGTTATTTTGTTTGACAATGTCAAAATTGGTGAACAAACAAGAACCAAACTATGTTGACTTCCACTAAGATAGACTTAGGACAAGTCAGAACCTATCCTAGTATTTGTCCTAAGTTAGGATATCCTAGCGCTAGGATACTTTTCGAGAATAAGGTAGGACACCTATCCTAGACCCTGGGATCAAAGTTAGGATATCCTTCGGCTAGGATCCTTTCGACAATAGGGGCCCAGAATATGAAGAGTGAGTGCCCTTGTTGACAAATTCTGTAGACCCTCTTCTTCAAGGGGAACATGTTTTATGGATTGACAGGTTCTTTGTTGTAATAGCTACAATGTTTCAATATCCAAAATCAAGATCTGCATCACATCACTTGGAAAAGTTCATAAAACATGATAATATTTGGAAATATACTGATAAAAACTTGACAAGACACATGCTTTGCAGATCTTGCTGTCAAAAACAATTTGTATAGCAGTAGCTCACAAACCAGATGTTGATTCAGTAACATAATTTTGATAAGACTGTGCAAAGACTCAATACGACAGCAAAAATATAACTAAGTAATTCCTTGGTCAGTATGGGTCAGTGGAAACTGGACTTGTATGTATAACTCCCTTGGTAAGATGTTCTATTTGGTTATCAAATTGTAACACACTGCACCTTAGCCAGTTGCATTATTATAAAACATATGACTGCCAGTGTGTGCAGGTCAGAGATGACATTATTTGTGATAGTGGACACAATTAGTGGGTGTTGGCTCTTCTACATCTTCACACAGTGTCCTTCAGATTTGATCTATTTCTGTGTTATTTACAAATATCTTTGATCATTTTGTATGTATATTTATTCATATTATGACATGATGAAATTGACCTTTCTGAAGTTATTTTGAATACGTGCACTTAAATTTAATAAATATTTATTATTATTGTTAGTTGGTTTTAAACTCTCATGACTGAACTTCAAGTGAGCTTCTGTGAAGGTTTGCTTGCCTGGAGGCATAAACCCGATGTCTGTGAACTTCAGGTCCTCAGAAATCATGACGACAATTAAACTGAAATTTCATATTCATTCAAAACATTTGAACGAACTATGACACTATATGAAAGATTGGCCCAAGGGTTGTAAGTCATGGTGATTCTCCATATAAATCCTTGTTCAGGCAGGTGTTTCTGCAAATGATCAGCATACATGGAGGGAGGCTTCACTATATGCAGTTACCTTGTGGATCATCAGGTTGTTGTTTTTCTGTGAGATGACCAGTGACAAGTGAATTTGGAGGCTACAGACCCCATGGCTTTTTATGTCTTGGAAGTTTTGAGAAACAGCATAAATATTAAGGGAAATCATGTGGGGTAAAGTACGTTTGTTATACAGTCATTTCTATTAGCAGAAACACCCTACAAAGGGTGTTTCTACCCTACAAACCGGTGTTATGTTCAGTTTATAAGTTTTATCTCCCAGTTTTAGATTCTTGATTAGAAATAGTTCCAACTAAGCTATGTGTGGTTTGTGTTATTCCTGTAGTAAGGTAAGGTGACTTAGTTGATGCTGCAATGATGGCATTAGCACTGCTGATACAAAGAAGTGGATTGACTGGCGCAGGCTAAGATTATTTACAAACCTTCCTCATATGTGACTGGAATATTGCTGTGCTGCTTTTAACAAATTTCAGTCTATTAAGACCAGTGTGCTGTTCCAATTCCAAGTGAGAGCTCCTTGTAGGAGTCGCATTCACTCACAGTTACAACTCTACCACAACAACAAAACGAAACAACACCCATGGGCGGATCCAGGAATTTTGAAAGGGGGGGGATGGGGTGTTTCAGGGTTTCAACCCCTGAAGCCCCCATTGGCCCCGCCAACGCACAAAAAATCTTCAATGTAGTCTTAAGTCATTTTTCAAAGGGGGTTATAGTTTGGCATGAAATGCATGTGGACCCGGCTTTTTGTAAATATCTCTTCATCCAATGACCCAATCGATCTCAAACTGTGCAAGTGGATGTTTTGTCAGACAACCTAATCACATTGTAAATCACCGATTTTATGCATTTGTATTAAAGAATCTGTCTATGTAACTGTCAACAAAATAAACAGCAGAACGCAGAATGCTTGCAGAGGGAGGGAGCCAATGACCTGTAACAGCGGCAGTGTTGGGTCATAAAGGTCAACGTTCGTCAATGTAGGTCAGCTATGCACGTGACAGGTATGAAGAGGTGTCACAGGTCGTGAATAGGGTAAGGTGGGTGCCAACTGTTAACCATCATACGGAGTTTGTTTCTCTGAGTTGTTCAACATTAACCACAAAACCCATTAGTGAGAATTATTCTGTAGGTTAAAATCTTTAAATTTTGCAAATAGCCGGCGAATGACATCTCTGATGACCCTGATGTCAAAAGAATCTAACTTTGGATGCCTACCTTTTTGTACAAGGTTTTGTTTATTGGTTGTTGGTTTATTTTTCACAATTTTTAGCACGATGTTCTTTTCATGCCAAGAGCAAAAGTTGTACGTTTCATGTAATCCGACACCTTATAAATCGGTTTGCTACGTTTGCTCTCTTTTAAAAAAAATTCAACACATTTCTAATTAAACGTTTAGCATCATCTGAATAAGCTTTCATGATGACAGCTAGAAGTAGTCAATGTGAATGATCCAAACGGTCTATCACTGTGCAGTGCACAGGTAACTATCATGAACTGCACGTGCATTGACCTTTATGACCCAACACTGCCGCTGTTACAGGTCATTGGCTCCCTCCCTCTGCAAGCATTCTGCGTTCTGCTGTTTATTTTGTTGACAGTTACATAGACAGATTCTTTAATACAAATGCATAAAATCGGTGATTTACAATGTGATTAGGTTGTCTGACAAAACATCCACTTGCACAGTTTGAGATCGATTGGGTCATTGGATGAAGAGATATTTACAAAAACCGGGTCCACATGCATTTCATGCCAAACTATACTTGGTTTTTTGCACACAATCGCAACCCGACAGCTTGGATCGTTGCTCACAATATCAATCACTGGATTATCTGGTCCAGACGCAACTATTTTCAACAAATAATTGTTTTCCCCCTGACTATGTCCAAAATTGATTTAATGTTTCCATAACATTCGCCAAGAGTTGCAAAAAATGATTACAAATTGTCGATGGTTACCTAGCTAAGCTCGCATGCACGCACATATACGAAACATTTCCAGGCAAGACTTCATGCGAGATCTGCGGAAGTAGCAGTTACCTCCCTTCCCGACAAAATGGCTGCATCCACAGATGCAGACGAGGATCTCACTTATGAACCGTCTTTGAAGAATATAATAGAGCAAACGTCCCTGAAATGGGTCTTTGTCGGTGGAAAAGGCGGAGTGGGGAAAACCACTACCAGGTAATAAACAATGAGGACATTGATTCAATATGTCGGAAAGTTAATGTGCAAGTCATTTAGTCACACGTCATGGCATATGACTCGCTGATATTATTTTGGTTGAGTTGTCCCCGACTGTTATGCTGAACTTATGTAACAATCTTGGTCTTTTTAAGACACATTAGAGTAAGCTAATAAAATCCACCATCAGGTGCGTTAATGCTGACTTGTAAGCCTAATTTTATGAGCGCTTCGATTATTCGTCGAGACGATCCACACCCACCAGTTTGTGCACTTGTGCACCCTGGATGATCTGGTCTATCGCATCTCCTTTCCATTAAGATATATATTCAACCACTTCGCTAGATATCACACCTTTGAGCTAATTCCAGTTCAAGAGTCATTTCACTAAAAACTGACACCCAAAATGATGTTTTGGGGCATTTTCAGAACCTATAAAAATAGCAATTGTTATTATTAATCCTAAATAAATAGTAAATTCCAGTCCAAATCAGCACTTTCATAATTTTGAAGGTAATGTTTCATTGCTTTGAATGCACAGCTTGGCTTTATTGCATTCAGTTCATTTGTATATGTACAAATGTATGAACCTCACAGTCACAAGACTTACGATTTAGTTTTTCACTTTGGCCAAGTCTAAACTCATTGTGGTAAACTAATCGTCATTGCTGTTCATGTCAACCTTCCATGGGCATGTTGTTCTTTACCCATGAAGACATTCAAGATCCAGTCCCATTTTACAAGTGCTTATACCAGACTGCAACACACAGTATCCATTCATTGTACATGTAATGATGAAGCTAGGCATGTTTGCTCTTTTCCAGCTGTTGTCTTGCTGTTCAATTGGCCAAGAAAAGGGAGACTGTTCTCATGATCTCAACAGACCCTGCTCACAACATTTCTGATGCATTTAACCAGAAGTTCTCCAAGGTTCCAACACTTGTACAAGGATTTCCTAATCTCTATGCCATGGTAAGTGTAGATGTTGTTTTCAACCCAGACAGCAGTGCAAGAGCTATATGAAGGCAGCTGACAGGTAGTCAACCTGATTGGGACAAACCATCATGATTGGGTTACACATTGTCAACTCACAATGTAAATTTGAATTACAGACACTATGTTGCCTTGGCATCCAGAAACGTTCATAATCAGAATAAATATGCTGACAGCGAAGGTTTGAAACACAGTCAAGAACTAAACAGCATATTTTGAAACATGTCTAAATCTATACTACATTATTTCTGTTTGCGGGTTAGAATTGATCTTCAGTAACCCATGCTTGTCATAAGAGGCGACTAACGGGATCAGGTGGTCAGGCTCGCTGACTTGGTTGACACATGTCATCAGTTCCCAATTACGTAGATCGATGCTCATGCTGTTGATCACTGCATTGTCTGGTCCAGACTCGTTTATTTACAGACCGCCGCCATATAGCTGGAATATTGCTGAGTGCGGCATAAAACTAAACTCACTCACTCACTATTTCTGTTTGCCATAATGACTTATCTTGGCTTGGCTGGTCCAGGAGCCACATATTGCTGTATCATGAGACTCATATTCACAGATCATTTGACAACTTGTGATAATATATAACAGATGGTGATCATCATGATCATGGAATGTTTTACTGTAACTTGGTTCAAAGACAGCATTGACTTCAATTACTTTTAGTCTTTCGATGCAATGTGTCCGGGCAGGTAGTAGTCTAGTTTTCAAGTACTCAATTGCTGAAATTGTGTAATATCAAGCCCACTCACTACAACAGTGATGTGGCCATTTTTATTGAATATTTACAAAAAGAATTTAGATGCATCCTCAATATTTTAACTGAAATTATTTTAGAAATATGTTTATGGTAGATCCTGTAATTATGATATGTGGTTGTAAATTGTTGTGTCATCTTTTCCAGGAAATTGACCCAAATCTGGGTTTCTCTGAATTGCCAGATGAATATTTTGAGCAAGGTAAGAAAGGTCACAATCAACATATGTAAAGTTAACTAAGATAAAATGCTGTGTGGATAGCATGTTGAGTCAAGTCTTTCTTATTTCATCCCAATTGAAGAGTGTCCATCCTTCCATGTGTCTGTCCATGCAGCACTTACTAGGCCCCCAAAAATGTGGTTCCGATTACCCGACCGACCCTTGAATTCTGGTGCCAACCCTACTTTTTGGGACGGTATGAATAAAATAAGCTTTCTGATACCATTGTTTTTTCCCCGGCACTGACGGATATTGGTCATTGTGATAGAGAAAGTTGACATGATGGCCGCAAGCTTGATTGAATAAACAAGTACACGTTGATAAATGTGTTATTAGTTCATACTCTACTTCTAAAAAAAAAGGTAAAAAAAATCCTACCTACCTACCTACCCTAAATTTTAAAGAGGTGTAATCGGAACCACAACATACTTTTTATTTGGCCCTATCTGCAACATTACTTAGATACTACACCCAGGAGGAATGTGTGTAAAGTAAAAGTCCCCAGCAGGATATGCTTGTCACTTTATCAGTATTGCTTTGTTTTAAGTCTGGTTAAAGTGTTATCAATGACACAAAGATAAAAATGCTGTCAAATTACATTATGTTTCGGGACCTAGACTAGTGGTTACATCACCACTATCCAGACCCTCATATTTGAGGTATTAAGTCTCTTATAGAGCTAGTATCACTTCAGAAACAAGCAATGGTGACAAAGAAATAAGGGTTTTTGTCAAAAACAGAATGGAGGTCAGAATGGAGGTCAAATACACTGTATGTATGACAATTTCAGCTGACATGATGAACATGGGCAAGAATATGGTGCAAGAGCTGCTTGGAGCGTTTCCTGGTATTGATGAAGCTATGAGCTTTGCTGAAGTCATGAGGTTAGTTTTGGACAACAATAAGTGCAGTTGGGACAGCCTAGTAGTTAAAGTGTTCACTTGCCACATTGATTATCTGGGTTCCTTTTCCAACATGTATACAATGTGTAAAGCCCATCTAGTGTGTGAAGCCTGAGTGCTGTTGAAGGGGTCGTTGTCAGCACAGGTACTACATATGTATACCCAAGGTAGGTTTTGTATGCATAAATGTTAGCAACCAGTTAGGCCGTGGGCCGAAATCTGTAGGGCCTCTAGAAATAGGAGAGTGCTTCAACATACTTGGTGAATACAAGAACTATGTATCAAAATGATCCCCAGGATGTGCTTGTTAAGAATCAAAACTTTTCTTGCAAAAATAGTTGTACATTAATGATTCACTGCTCCTGAAAAGTATCCACCAGATATGTTGAAGCACTTTGACACAATTTTGGGGTTCGGCCCATGGCCTAAATGCATTTGATTGCATTATAAAAGAAACGACCATACACAGTAACCAACGTCACGGTGCACAATATCACTTGCAAACAGTTGAACGGGAACAATAACACATGTTTTCGGTTTTGGGTTGCGGAACATGGACTCATCTGCCGTGTAGGGTACGTGGTATGTTTCTGTATTTTGACTTTGTTTAGGGTACATTTCTGTATACAGACACATACTTGGGGTTCATATCTGTAATATCTGTGCCGACAACGGCTTTGTCAGCTTAAGTACTGATGAAAGTTGGGAAAATTCCCCAATTTGCATGGAATACCATCACTATTTTTAAATCTTCTGTAATTTAGATTTCCATGCTCCATAAGGACTTATCTTTCAGAAATTGAAATAAACTTATTTCGACAAAGCAGTATGGACAACCAGATCCCCATACGTCTAAATATGATCTTCACAATCACAAATTGTTTTGTTGCCAAGAAGGTTTGAATCTGTGAGTGTTTTGAATGAAAAACTTACCCGTGTATTGCTTAGGGTCTGTACATGACCAATATTGTTCCTTTTACTTTTCATCTTTCATCAGTCTTTACAGGAGACAATATATTCTTAAAAATTATGACTTGTGATCTGAACTTGGTATAGAATTATTCTACAGCAAATGTGTGAAGCTCATTTCTGGTGTCATGCTGTGATATGGCTGGAATATTGCTCAAAGCAGTGGAACATAACACTCACTCACTCACTCACTGCAATGACAAAAGAACTATGGCTTTTACATTATGTCTTTGTTTCTGTCACACAGACTTGTAAAGAATATGAATTTCTCAGTGGTAGTGTTTGACACTGCTCCAACCGGCCACACGCTTCGTCTTCTTTCCTTCCCAACTGTTATCGAGAAGGGACTTGGTAAACTACTCCGTCTCAAGAACCAAATTAGCCCATTTATTTCACAGGTATGTTTATGTCTTAACCTTATTCATATGGTCATATGGGTGTACTGATGTCCAAATCATCTGAGGTGATGCAGATTGCTCTACGGGGTTGTGTCCCTTTGGCTGAGCAGAATACTGTGATTGTGGATTCAAAATGGGGAAAGCCTTCTCCAACAGTAGTACTTGTTACTGTAACATTGTTGAACATCCTACACTTTCAATATATATTTTCAACTAAGCAGTCGATACGACTTTATGCCATGTATACAAACTAAGATATATGTTTTATGCCCATTTTGATGTACCCAACCAGAAAATGACTAAAAAGGAAGTATTTTCTAGCAAGGTTATGTTTGCGGTAGGATGGTAAACAATTTGGCTTTTCTTATGAGAGGAGGTTGTTCTGATTTGATACTTCTGACTGACTAATGTATATACCCAGTATTTCTGTTTCATGAGTAATTCTCCAGCTGTTAGTGTTATGTAGATGATCCTTTATTAAGAAGATAAACAGCTATGTTCATCATTTTGTCAATGACCGCCTCCAAGGTGTAGTGGTTAGAGTGTCCGTCCGGAGAGCGGAAGGTCACGGTTTGATCCCCGGTCGCGTCATGCCAAAAAACGTTAAAATATGGTACTTGTTGGTCCCTGCCTGGTGCTCGGCATTAATGGGTACAACAAGGATGAGTGAAATATTCTTAAGTTAAACCCCTCACCTCACTTTTGTCAAATGTCATTCAGTGACTGCAAAATCATTTGAAACTAATTCTGTTAGGCTTATGTTGATTTGTGGAAATCCAATGATAATCGCTGAGGCAGGCTGGCCTATCAGTCTGTGGAACACATTGCATTGACTGGTGAATGCTGGTGTGTTTCAGATGGCAGGGATGCTGGGGATGCAGGACCTGAATGCTGATCAGATGTCCCAGAAGTTTGACGACATGCTGGTGACCATCAGGCAGGTCAATGAACAATTCAGGAATGCTGTAAGTATACCTCACAGACATGAACAATTTGAGATCAGTTTGGAATTAGGCACCACCTATTCTGATGTTCAGATTTCTCTGTGTATAATTTAGCCAATGAATTTTTACATTCATGCATCCTACCATTTACATATTCTTTTGGCACAGGACCTGGTTGTATTGAACATTATTTAATCTGGTACATGGTATCCCAAACACTTCAATGTGTATTGTGTCGTTTAAAGTCTGTTGTATGAAATTTTAAAGAACCTGTGAAGATTCTTGATCTCAGAGTTGATCTTCAGCAATCCATGCTTGTCGTAATAGTCAACTAAAGAGATCAGGTTATCAGGCTTGCTGACTTGGCTGAGAAATGCCATCATATCCCAAATGCATAGATTAATGCTCATGATATCAATCACTGGATTGTCTGGTCAAGACATGATTAGTTACAGAACGTTATCATATTGCTGGATTAATGCTGGAAAAGTGTGGCATAACCAAAGTTTTAAATGACACCGTCTGTACATCCAATTTAAAAGGGTTAGAAGTACTGTGTACTTGCAATTTTACCAGATGTGCCTTCTGTTATGTATTAATCTATTGATAAAATACAGAGGTGCGATCAATACACCTTAAGTATGAACAATGCTATAAATGTTTCTCAGGCTTAACCTTGAATTTGACATTTTCTTTGACACAAAGAAAGTTTCTTTGACTGATAGTCACAGAATGAAAGAGCCTTTTCAGTTTTCACATGCCCATGAATCATTGTCTACAAATGATTTTAGTCCCATGAATAAACACAATTCTAATCATGCCCCCTGACCTCTGACCTCAGGACCAGACCACATTTGTGTGTGTGTGCATCGCAGAGTTTCTTTCTTTGTACGAAACGGAGAGACTGGTGCAGGAGCTGACTCAGTACCAGATCGACACTCACAACATCATCGTCAACCAGCTTCACATGATGAAGAAAGGGGAACAGCCATGTAATCTGTGCAGAGCTAGGCAGAAAATACAAGCCAAGTATCTGGACCAGGTAATTGCTTCAAATGAAATAAACAGATCTTTTGGAACATTGGGTAGAGAAGTTCCTTATTACCAGAATTTTGTAGCCAGGGGGAGTGACAATTGTCTTGCTGATAGAGTTTCATCATTTCCTAACTTTGATTTATGCAGTAAAAACCACTAGATTTGTTTGGGTAAGGTTCTATTTATCAAAATGGGTAGAGGGGTAGCCTAGTGGTTAAAGCATTTGATCGTCATTCTGAAGACCCTGGTTCGATTCTCAACATGGTTGAAACCCATTTCTGGTTTCCCGACCATGATATTGCTGGAATATTGCTAAAAGCAGCGTAAAACTATACTCACTCACTCTATTTATCAAATGATCTGCAAATTGGCTGTGGCTGACAAAAATGTTTCACTGGTAGGCCAGTATGTTTATCTATCCCATCAGTGTGCAAAATTTACGCTGGTCCTGTGGTCCCCAGCTAGTAAAAATTCATCAGGACCACTAAATGATAAGTTTCAAGTGGTCCTGGTGGCCAGTGAATTTTGTATTGATAGTTAAGTAAATCTACGGAAGTTATTTTGGACAAGTGAAGTACAGACAGGACCACTAATTATTGTCCACTCACTGGTCCTGTGGTCTGGTCGGTAGTAATTATATACTCTGGATGACCTTTTTAACTAAATCTAAAAAATTGAGATTCATTGCAGGGATTGGGAAAGGCAGGGGCCATGGACCGTTTTGCACATTGGAATAAAAAATGGCGCATTAATATTGAAGTTTACTATTGATACAAGGGCAGTGGCCCATTCTAAATTCAGAAAATGGCTAATAATCCTGAAAATGTCCCATTGTCAAAGTTCTCTGTCCCAATCCCTGCATTGCCAGAAACAGATGGTTTCACTTTAATTACATGTACCTATTTTGATTTAAATCAACTTTCAGTCATAACAATTTAAGTTTGACATTTTGTCGGTGGACAAAATATTCCAAATAAATCTGCAGTTTTCAAACTAACTGTTCATCTTTTTTTCACATTTCCAGATATCTGACTTATATGAGGACTTTCATATTACAAAGCTGCCATTGCAAGACACTGAGGTTCGCGGCGTGGACAAGATCAAAAGCTTTTCCAAAAACTTGATAGAGCCCTACTCCCCAGACTAACAACCTCATGAGATATGTCACCTGGGTGAGAGGATCCTCCTTCATCTGTGTCATAAAAATCTCAGTTTCATTAAAATCACAGCTTTTGTTCCGACATTCTGATGAAGATCTGACAACCTTTCCAGTCCGCTCAGAACATTCTAATCAGCCAAGGAGTGCTGCAGCACACAGCAGCATATCTCATTTCTGTATCTGAAATTAGATAACCAGTTTCGGAGGTAAAGAAATAACCCTTGCCATTTTATTGTTGTCGATACATACATCAAAATGAGTACCATTAAGGAAATATTTGTGTTCTGTGTTAAGTTTTCTTTTGTTAAAAAATCAAAATTTCTGAATCAGTAAAGATCATGTTCGAAAATGGACATCTGAATGGATCAAGAACCAATGTCTTAGACTGGATGGTCAGAGTTCACTTAGAGTTTACCTGAAGCAACTTTCAATAGAGGGTTGTCAAATCTTCACACACAGGTAATGTATTAAAGTTTTGCTTTTAATGAGATCACGAAGATCAGTTTCAGCTGGCGACAGGAAACATACAAACAAGTTTAGCGTCAGATATGGTCATCATTTTAGAATCTGTGCTTTGTCTTGATTGTGATAGGTACTTTTCTTTTTTGACTGTATGGTATTTATAGAAACATGTATGATTAACTGCCAAAATATGAATTTATTCATGGGTGATGAGTTAAGAACAAAAGGCACAGGCAGTCCAAACTATTTGTTGACACTGACATTGATTTCTGTTGAATTTTGAGTATCCTTGAATATTTTTCAGTTTATGATTGATTCAGTAAGTAAAGTAACATTTTCAGTAGTATGGAGCCTACGCTGTTGTTATATTGCTTTTTAATAAAAAAAAAAATAGGGTTCAATTCACAGATGATGACAATTATCTTATTTGTACCCCATTGTGATACAGTATTGTTGCAGTTGTGCAGAAAGCGAGGTAAAGCCTTGTTTTCCAACTGGAGTTACTATGAAAGTCAGTTGTCTGAAGAGGGGCATTATCATGGCAACTAAATAGCCTATGAATCTATTGATGTCAGTGCAACATTAAAAATTCATGACAAGTCATTTGAGATTTCTTCCCACTTGGTAAAATATCCCATCCTATAACCAGCATCGTTGAGGGTCCAGTGTATGATTTGTCTAATCTTGTAATTATTTTCCCCCAGTTTTTCATATCTGGAGACTTCCCTTCTAGAGCTTGTGTTTAATATCCTGAGGTACAGATTTGATACAACTGGAAATATATTAATGTCTAGTAAGTAACATGGTTAAAGATATCCTACTGTATCTCTTCAGAAAGTAAGCAGTAATTGTCACCTTACAAGGTACATGTACATACATATATTTATTGCGTGCAGTGTTCACAACACCAACTATTTGGATGGCTGTAGCTTGTGCAGAGTTGTGTCCCTTTAGTAGAGGGCAGACATCCTAGATTTGCCATAATGACCCTTGCTTGTCAGCAACACACCCATGCTGTTTGGAGTCATCAAAGTGATGTGACTGAAATACTTTTCAAAAGGGTGTTAAACTCAAAACACTGTTAACTGTGTCATTCTCCACGTGTTTGATGAAGATGTGAATGATTTTACTTTGTTGCTACTTTTGGTTAAGTTCACTTCTCGTGTACCTCTTGGAAGCATTTTCACTGTTAATGATCCGCATTCACTGGCAGTGAACTCATTATTTGAAATTGCCATGGACCAAAATGAATTTGGTTTTAATTTTACATTATGGCATTAGTTAGTTGGCATTATGTGAATATAAATGTGTTGTCTGTGCAACTAAAATCCGTCAACTTGTATGTCCAGCTGTTCTTGTGGATGTCAACAAGTGAAATGGTATACTTCTGTGTGATGTTCATGTAATTTTGCAGGTCTACCTCTTACTTAAAAAGTTTCTGATTTCTTGTTTTTAGGAAAGATAACACAATGTATCTCTTAATTGTCTGATTCACTAATGTCAACTACAACTCAATAAAGGAACACTTCTATGTCTAGTCATTGTTTGTGTCTTGTCAAGTGTTTGCAGAATACTTTGCAGATGGGATTCCACCTTTTAAAGGCTGCTGTTTGATTTAAATGGACATTTGATATTAGAATCCCCTTCACTCACAATGAATTGGAGATTTCAAATGTAGAACCGCCTTCTTTGGCAAATGGTACCCCTGAGAGCCTCAGAGAGGGTATAGATTCTGATCTTAACAGGGTATTGTGCTCACAATGTCAACCACTGGGCTTTCCTTTCAGACTTGGAGTTGTTGTTTGTGTGCTTAAAACGATTTCTTTTCACACTGGTCGTCTTACACTGTAAACCGTTTCCTCATCGATAGAATGTGTGAAGGCTATTTCAGATTTAAGATGTCTGGAAGATTGCTGACTATAGTCTGTTTGCAGTGAAAACGTACTGATGAATTTCACTTTAAACAAAAAAGTAAATCAAATAAAGTGAAATTAAGATTGCGAATCCTCATAATTTTACCTTGACATTTGAAAATTTAAAACTTGAAAGTTGTTTAACAAACAATCATAGTTTCAAATCGGTATTATTGGTTTGTATTACAAGGGGGTATGCAGCTAAAATGAAACACCGAGAACAAGTAGGGTTGGTCTAAGTTAACGCTCATCACGTACCGCACCTGCATTTGTTTCACTGTTCCAACTACTGCGCTTACCTCCTTGTAATACAAACCAATATAAGCGATATGAAACTATGATTGTTTGTTAAACAACTTTTTTCATAAGTTGAATAAAAATCTAAGATTTAAATGTTCAATTGGCAAGGTAGAATTATGAGAATTCGCAATCTTAATTTCACTTTATTCGATTTACATTTTTGTTTAAAGTGCAATTCACAGGTACTTTTCACTGCAAACAGACTATAGCTGACTCACCCATTCAAGCACATATTCACCTTGGTCCTGGCAGCTGTGGTCATGTAGCTGTGTTTTCCTAAACGTTTGTGTCAAACAACATTGTTTGTTTCTTTGCTTAATGCCCCACTCACAATGTTCCTGCTATAAGGTGGCCATTAGACTAACGCTTAGTCTCTGAATATACAGGGGCAGATACAGCTTTTTGAGAAAGGTGGGGTGCACACTATTGAGAAAAGGAGGGGTGCACACTTCATTTTCACCCGAGTTTCAGTGGTTCCGCCTATGATATATATGCTTTTGATAGTAACAAACAAACCCATATAAACTGAAAAGGAGCCCCAGGGAGACCAGAGATAACCTGAGGGAATCTGGACTTGCTTCATTTACGGCTTTAGCATTTCAGAGATAGCTTGTAAGTATTTAAAATAATATGGTTCAAGGACTGTGAGACAGACTAGGTGGCCATCTGTGAATAATGAAGTCTGGACCAGACAATCCAGTGACAATTTGACATAAGGTGATACAACAGATACCCCAGTTACCAATTCCATACTTGATACCGTTTACCAAGGCCAATTAAGCATTCACGCTCCTCATTAATCACCTCCGTCGAATGTTAATTTACAAAGAACTGAAAGAAGCCATGAACAGTTTCAACATAATCTCCAACGCCCAAGTGGTGTTGAATCCGAATTTCATTCAGTATTTTGTACAATACAATAATCTTGACACTGAAATGAGTGACCCAATCAGTTTATCGTTTTCATTTTTCAGCCAAGTCACGTTGAAACATGCTTTTATAATTTTTCATATTTAACAATTACATACTTCCTGCTAAGCAGTTAAAAACCAATCCATAATCGGTTTCAAACCAAGTGATCTTGTACAAACATATCAATTATAGAACGTCAGTGCAAAAAAGTCTTGGCCTATTCTCAGAAACCAATCTGGGGTAAAAGGAAACATAAGCGAGAAAATTTTATGAATGAATCACTTAAAATCTGTGATGACATTAGGTGTTCCGTTATAACATTAATCAGGTATATAATTCACCGACTTGGATTGTCAGGAGTACGTAATAACCGTTCACATATTCTCCAGTAAATACTGCTGAGCTCTATGTGCCGGAGCCTCTTTTCCCTCTCTGCTAGCTCGGCCTGATGAAGGGCCCGGTTCATCCTTGTCCGTATCCTTCTCTGTGCCAACTCCCGTTCTCTGTCCAGTTCCTGAAGTGACCGCTCCAGCCTGCCCTTGAGGACAAAATGTTCTCTCTGTATGCTCTTCCACATGCGACGCTGACTATCTGTGCTTGTATACGTTGTTTCCATTGCATTCAAGTATGTCTACCTTTCTACCGTGTTGCAGAGCCTGTGTGTCAGAAAGGAACAGGGTTGTTTGTTTGTTGTTTAACACAGCACACAGCAATATTCCAGCAATATGGTGACAGCCTGTAAATAATCGAGTCTGAACTAGACAATCCACTGATCAACAGCTTGAGCATCGAGCTACGCAATTGGGATATGATGCCATGTGTCGACCAAGTCAGCGAGCCAGGCCACCCGACCCTGTTAGTCGCCTCTTACGACAAGCATGGGTTGCTAAAGACCAATTCTAACCCGGATCTTCATGGGTCGAAGCAATGTGACAGGCAATCGGATGATTAAGGTCTCTTTGCACACTGGGTGGGGGAATTTCCGAAGTTATAGAAAAGGTGTTCTGAAAATTACAGGACTCATTCATATGACTTGCTTGTGTTCAAATGTTTAAAGCAGAAATTCTTTGTGTGAGCCTCACTTCTACATTACAATTGTCGAAACATATACGTGTTCAAATCAAGGCCGGTTGTCAGTCACATGAACACATTGAATATATTTTAAGATTTAACTTTAAGATGTCTTAAATTTTGCAAATCCTTTGTGCTAAACTGATCTTTATCACTGTCTTGTCAGTTTATTTAAAATGATGCATCTTTGGACGGCATCGATATCTGTGTGAGTGAGTTAGGTTGAGCCACTTTGAGCAGTACTATATATTAGAAGACGACCCGAAGTGAAGCTAGTCATAGATCGACGGTGAACATCTGTACAACATTTTCTAAGTGACATGCTTGATGGGAATATACAGAATTGCTCACATCACTCACCAGTGTATGGTTGTTGAATATCCGGCATATTTCACAAGTCCCCAGCTAAGCAATGGCGTGTTCATGTGGAAGGTTTTCATGCAACTGAGCAATCGTGCACATTTACCTTTCTTAAGGCATTGTGCCTGAACATAATTTTTCCATCATAAAACGTATTAGCATAATGCTCATAAATCTAAATCAGATGGCCTATTGTGGAATGCTTTTAAAAATTCCCTTCCTTAATATTCAAGGTCAATCCCTATTTGCTCCAGAAAAAATGCAGCAAGGAGGGTTAGCCTTGACCTGTTGACCTGAGGTCATCAAGCAGCGGCTTGCGAAAATTGTAATGGCCTAGCTGTAGCCTAGCTAACTTCAACTTGGGAGAGGCTCTTGCTAACTTTGGATCTCCCAGCTCTGGTTTATTCGGAGTAGTCTGTTAGCTACATGATGTGAATATTGCACGAATTCACTGTTTGGTGTATACGTGGTTGTTTAACGCCCAACTCGGCAATATTTCAGCTGTATGACGGCGGCGTGTACATGTTGGAGTGTATACAACGTGATTGATATATGTCGTCTGTTTGCGATGACACAATCATAAAAGGCTCAAAGGCCCAATTACACAAAACAATGTCAGCGCTACAATTATTGTAAATCCGTGCAATCGTGATCGTCGGCTTCAGCTGCCATCACCATCCATTTGGACAAAGCCATTGATCGTTGTAACCTACAGTCAAAACCTATGTAGCTAAAACCGTTGTAGTTACAGAGCCTGTCATCCAATCCACTAGGTCGTCTCCCGAGAACCCAGCAAAGGTTGCGGGTCTGTTCTAAAGCAGAATCCCTGTTCGGTCTTCAGTGATTATGGGGATGAATGAGTTTGTTATACCGCAGCTTTTAACAATTGATGACTGAGGATGGAAGGGAAGCCTTAAGTTTCAATTTCCAAACATGCAAACATCGTTGAGGTATTTGTCGAACCAAGAACCACAACCACGTGGGATAAGACCGTGATCCCATGTTTCTGTCAAAGCGAATCGATATAGATATTATGGCCGCACGTGTCCGTTCTATTTCTTAGGGTTCTCTTGGTATGAAAAATACTATAGTCTGTTTGCAGTGAAAACGTACCGATGAATTTCACTTTAAACAAAAAAGTAAAATTAATCAAATAAAGTGAAATTAAACTTTTAAATCTCAGAATTTTATTCAACTTAGTAAAACAAGTTAATCAAATAAAGTGAAATTAAGATTGCGAATCCTCATAATTTTACCTTGCCTACTGAACTTTTAAATCTCAGAATTTTATTCAACTTAGGTTAAAAGTTGTTTAACAAACGATCATAGTTTCAAATCGCTATTATTGGTTTGTATTACAAGGGGGTATGGACATTAAATGAAATACCGAGAACAAGTAGGGTTAGTCTAAGTTAACGCTCATCTATGATCGTTTGTTAAACAACTTTTATCCTAAGTTGTATAAAATTCTGAAATTTAACTGTTCAATTGGCAAGGTCAAATTATGAGAATTCGCAAACTTAATTTCAACTTCTTTGATTTACTTTTTTTCGTTTAAAGTGAAATTCATCAATACGTTTTCACCACAAACAGATGATAATACCACGAAGTATTCAAAACAATATATCTTTCTTCACACATCACGTTAAACACACATTATGACAAAACACACATGCAGGAACTACACGTAACAAATCGTTCAGTATTCATTTGTTTTATTTCTTTCACAGGAATCATCGTCTGAAAAGATGAGAAAACATGCGTTAAAACAGTAATACGTTTCATGGGGTTTTCACGCACATTGGTAACGTGACTGCAGGTTTTGATCAAAGATGCGTGACTTATGAGTAAGTATGTCTTTTTCGCCGGCCTTCCAATATTCTGGTAATATGACTGGGGAAGGACCAAGGTGTTTTACATATTGTACCCATATGGATAACAGGACCGTACTTCAACATGACGTGTGAAACTTTTAACCACCAGGCTAGTCCACCGTCACTGATCACAAATGCATGAACGGCTCTTTATACAAGATACACTCAGACTCGTCTTGTCAAATAAGAAGTTGAAACATGTACATACTCTCTACTGTATAGTCATTTTGAAGCTTACCTACAAGAAACATACATATGGAACTGAGCCCATAAGAAACTATCCTTGAATGTCAGTAAATACCTTTGTGGAGGGGGTCTTCTGGGCCTTTCTTCGGAACCTTCAGATCCTTGTTCCTTTTGCCCTTCGGGGCCTTTGCCGCCTTCGCCTCTCTGACCTTCGGATCTTTCACCTTTCTGACCTTCGGAACCTTCGCCTTTCTGACCTTGGGAGCCATCACCCCTCTGACCTTTCGAGCCTTGGCCTCCCTGACCTTGGGGACCTTGGGAGCCTTGGCCTCCCTGACCTTGGGGACTTTGGGAACCTTGGCCTCCCTGACCTTGGCGACCTTGGGAGCCTTCGCCTCCCTGACCTTGGGGACCTTCGGAGCCTTGGCCTCCCTGACCTTGGCGACCTTGGGAGCCTTGGCCTCCCTGACCTTGGGGACCTTGGGAGCCTTCGCCTCCCTGACCTTGGGACCTTGGGAGCCTTGGCCTCCCTGACCTTGGGGACCTTGGGAGCCTTGGCCTCCCTGACCTTGGGGACCTTGGGAGCCTTGGCCTCCCTGACCTTGGGGACCTTGGGAGCCTTGGCCTCCCTGACCTTGGGGACCTTGGGAGCCTTGGCCTCCCTGACCTTGGGGACCTTGGGAGCCTTGGCCTCCCTGACCTTGGGGACCTTGGGAGCCTTGGCCTCCCTGACCTTGGGGACCTTGGGAGCCTTGGCCTCCCTGACCTTGGGGACCTTCGGAGCCTTGGCCTCCCTGACCTTGGGGACCTTGGGAGCCTTGGCCTCCCTGACCTTGGGGACCTTGGGAGCCTTGGCCTCCCTGACCTTGGGGACCTTGGGAGCCTTCGCCTCCCTGACCTTGGGGACCTTGGGAGCCTTGGCCTCCCTGACCTTGGGGACCTTGTTGTTGTGCTTGTCTGCGTGGTCGGGATTGTTCATTGCCCTCTGGAGGTGGAGGGCATCCTGTTGGTGGAGGTGGACCGTCACCCTCTGGCCGCTGTTGTCTGCGTTGGCGGGATTTTCCCATACCCTCATTAGGGGGAGGACAGCCAGTTGGTGGAGGTGGGCCCTCGCCTTCCCCCTGAGGGGGTTGCGACCAACATGTGGCAACAAAGGAGAGCGCAAGTAGTACCAACAAAGTCTTCATAGTGAGAGTGGTGGTCTTGTCTCGACACAGAACAGCTTTTATACACTTCCAGTCCAAAACCAGATGGCCCTTCATTAACTGTTATTAATTACCACCGAGGAGGCGGTATTGCTTGCATTGTCAGCAAGGGATTAAAACGTGCTGCTTCAATTTAAGATATGTATTGTTCATAATAGGACTGTCCTTACGAAGACAAAGAGCGAAATAGAAATGTGATAATGAATAGCTTGTTATGTCAATAATAGACTGTCGCAGGACCACGTTTCAATCGACGATGGCATATCTTATTACATGACCAAATATGCTTTCATGGCATAACAAATTAACAAGACAATAATGAATGCAAACATTTATTCCAAGTCACCGTTCATTGATTGTAAACAGCTGTTGCGACGGGACGTATGATGAGGAATTTGTGTATTGCTAACGTCAGTGATATTCCAGCTTTATTACACTGGGGCTAGATTTTCGAAGCTCTCTTAGCGCTAAGATAGAAGTAAGTGCCATACATTAACATTAACTTACGACTATCTTAGCGCTAAGAGAGCTTCGAAAATCTAGGCTCTGGTGTGCAAATAACAAGAGTCTGGATCAGACACACCAGTGCCTGAAAGCAAGAGCAACGACTAATTTGAATCGGACACCGGATACTTATTAGGCAACTGACAAGAAAATCATATTTTCATGCTTTACTGCTGTAAGTTTGTCGAAGACTACATGCCGATGTGATAATGCTATACCTATGTTGTACCTATATACCGCTTCAAATAAATGCCTCCTTTCGAAAAAAACCTTTTGAAATACTTAGTTTGAATCAGGGACACTTTTAAATGAAAGTGTTGCAACGTAAGAGAGACGTGTTGCAAGAAGAAGATCCTTTTATAGGGAGTACTTATGTGGTCTATGTTATTTAGGCCTTTCCTGTATTTTCACAAATCCCCGGAGATGTCAAATCTAAAAATATCATTTTTAAAACAATACAGATAACTCAAATACATTCAACAAAATATCGACATATCTAAATGAAGAGTCACTTTTTACTGCTCAGATAGTAGGGGTGGGTATTGCAGAGAATTTTCATATTGCGATATATTGCGATGCAAAGCATATATTGAGTTAATTGAGTTAACGCTTTATTTATAAAGCAAAAACACAACAAAATCACTATGCTTGATTAAGCTATAATAAACACTTTTAATCATGACAAAATAAGAACATAAATAATATTTGGCACAAATGAAACAAGGAAAAGAATAATTTAACATCAACAGAGTGGTTACTAGTTTTAACTACTTTCTCCACTCTCACATATCAGGGATCATTGGTCATTAATGAGTAAATATTTAAAACAATCTCAATCAAAACATTGCGAAACACTTGAACAAAAATTAAGAACACAACTTCAAACCGAACTTAACAATAAAGTTAAATGTAAAGTCTTTGAAGGGCATGCAGAAGTGGAATGTATAAGAAAAGCAAGATTTATGTATGCCAACTTCATTCACAATATAGAAGTTGACATCCATAAATCTTGCATTTCTCAGTTAGATATAATTTTCACCACGATCATTCCCACCACCATTACCACAGTTGCCACGATCATCAAGGTTTCCTAGTGTTTCCGAATGCATCTCAAAATACCGGTTTTCGATCAGCGTATTGCAATACGTATCGTTTTCACGTCTGAACCGGTTAATACCTATCAGATAGTACCTCACTAAAAAGAACGTCCAAGATATTGGTCTTTATTAATTAAGATAGAAGTTACATAAACAGACCCAGAAATATTGTCGATTACACGGGAAAATATGGTAACCAAAGTCGATAGAAGACTATAATATCTTTGACGTAAACAGTTATCATCTAAGTAGATGAAAGTATCTTCAACGTAGTTACAGGGCTTAATATATCTATCAAGTTTAAAAGCGAAACAATTAAATGTTGTTCAAAGCTTGAATTGTTTTCGTCCATAAAAGATAACTTCCGGCATCATAATTGCATTAGATTAATTGATGTCAAAATCTATCTAATGAATATTGTAAGATTCCTCAGATCAAACCATACTCTTCTAGTAGAAACGGGCAGATATCACAACATACTAAGACATGAAAGGTTTTGCCCATTTAGTATTATCCCAAACGCTGAGGATGAATTCCACTTTTGTTTAGTGTGCACATTTTATTCGGATTTGCGCACCAGTCATATTCCACAATATCAACTATTGGCAAAATGTTCATTTTCATGTAACAAACTTAATGTTGTAATATACGTTTTTCTCGCTTTGAAAAAACCCGTAATTCCTTTTTCAAAGAAAAACCTGTTGTTTAGCAACATCGTGTATAGTTTGTATTGTTTTGCCTATACCATATACTGTTATATAATGTATAATTTAGTCATGTTTGTTCTCAGGGCTCCTGTCAAACAGTCGTTATCATGCTCTGTGCTAGTATACTGGGCCGGTGGCCCTTGTACGCGAATAAAAACATCGGCTATAGAGCATTATCTACCATATACATGACCTCCCTAATAGATTACCAGAAGTTATATCGGTCTATCATTACAATGTATTTCTAAATAGATCTCCATATGTTGTATAGCTTCATCTACCATCTACGTGAACTTCAAATATGGATATTCCAAAGTAATTATTTGCAGTCTGAAATTAAAAACTACTTTTCAGTTAAAAAAATGTGGACAGTTGTATTTCGCGTTTTGTTTCTTTAGAGACACACATAACAATCATTTTCAGTATTTGCATTCTGAAATTAAATACCTTTCAATGAAAACAATATTTGATAATTAGTTTCTACGCTTTGTCCGTTAAGAGAACCAGATGACATAGCAATCAATTCCTAATATTTCCGATCTTTAGAATGTCACGTTTTAATCACCTAAGCTATGCTGATGATGCACTGCAATGTTGACACATAAGTAATTACGTTGAGTTAACAATACGTCAGCTGTTTTGGACTGGGAGTGTATAAATGGTGTGGTTTGGGCGGTACATCGCTTTCACAATGAAGAAGTTCCTAGTACTACGGGCACTCAGCTGGTCCTGTCCTCCTGGCGTTGGCCACCCATCCCAGGATGCACAAAGGAAGATGACTGTCCTCCAATCCAGCTCATGTACACACGCGCCATGGGAAGGTGACGATCCCCTCCACCAACCGGATGTCATCTCCACTTCTCGAAGGTCAAGGCCAAGAACCAGGTACTTGAGGTCCTGATGGAAGAACGACTGTCTCCTCCACCCATGGACAAGCGTACATTCAGAGTGAGAGTATTCCTCCCCTCGACTTTACTTTATGATTACTTACGTTAACATTTACATCTACTTGCATCTTTTCCTTTGCCTTCAAATGATGTCTAAAGACCAAATGTACTTTCGATTATTTTGTGATGCCTATGTCCAATCTGAAAAATATTAATGAATTACTGATCATATTGATGAAGAATATAATACGTATATATATAGGTAAGATAAGTAGCGGTTTGATCTATGATAATTATGTATTTTAATTTCATTCGCAATGAAACTACCTATCCACGAAGCTGTCTTGCCTAAGAAAAATCGTAGCGACTTTGGACTAAAATTGCGACTGCAATAACATACATCTACCGCAGAGTTGTCTTACAATACAAGCTGAGAGGGTTCTGAGTGAGTGTGAGTGAATGAGTGTGTGAGTACATCACGGCGGGGGATACCAGAAATGGGCTTCACGCAGTGTACCCATGTGGGGGATCGAACCTGGGTCTTCGGCGTGACGAGCGAACGCTTTAACCACTAAGCTACCCCACCGCCCAGAAATGGCTCTGAAGTAAAGGAATTAAAGTAAACTGCAGGTTATCTAAACACGTCATTCATTATTCAGGAATTTCCTAACTGCAATTCATGTATGAATTTGCGATGTTCATTTGCTTTTAAAACAACTTACTATAAGTCTGAAATTATGTGTAAATTATGTGATGACATGTGTCAAGCAAGCCAGCGAGCCTGAACACCCGATCCCGTTAGTCGTCTCTTACGACAAGCATGGGGTTCCTAAGATCCTTTCTAACCCGGATCTTCAAGGGTCCCCGCACTCAGCAACATTCCACTCATATTGCGACGGTATGTACATAATCGAGTCTGGACCACGCAAGCCAGTGATCAATATTATAAACATTGATCTACGCAACTGGGAACCGATGACATGTATGAATCAAGTCAGCGAGCCTGACAACCCGATCCCGTTTGTCGCCTCCTATGACAAGCATGGGATAAATCAATTCAAAGATCAATTCTAACCTGAGTCCTCAATGATATCAACTTGTCTAAATGTTGCAGAGAGAGAAACTTGAATTGATACTGATGGCAGTAGATTGTACCATATGTTCATCCCGGATGAAGAATTGACTAGACTTTGCATGTGTTTATGACTGGTGCCACCGGTGGGGCAAGATACGCTCACCTTTTCGCAAACCCCTTTATCATTACTATTGATTCATATACACATTTGTTCTCATGATCGATGCTCGTGCTGTTGATCCGTGGATTGTCTGGTCCAGACTCGATTATTAACAGACATATAGCTGGAATATTGCTGAGTGCGGCGTAAAACTAAAATCACTGACTCTTTATGGCTGTGGAAAGGGCATTGTACCACCATCAGGTCAAATCTGCGTGTGTAACATATGGCTCCCCACCTTCACACTTCCGCCCCCGAATCTGTCCACCCGAAGACGTCATCTACCTTGGTGTTGAAGAAGAAATCGTGATTCATCACTGAACTCACTGTCGGTGTCTCATGTCTGTACATTGCTGCTCGATAGCATACGTTTTCGTCGATGAGAACATCTTCATACAGGTGTTGTGGGTCTAGTTTCCCCCGCTTCCTGTTTGTTTGGTCACCTTCCTCAAACTAGGCACCTGTCCTGCTGTCTCGGGGCGGTGGGGTAGATTGGTGGTTAAAGCGTTCGCTCGTCACGCCGAAGACCCGGGTTCGATTCCCCAATGTGTGAAGCCCATTTCTGGTGTCCCCCGCCGTAATATTGCTGGAATATTGCTAAAAGTGGCGTAAAATCATAATCACCCCTGCTGTCCCAGTGCCTGTAGCCTGCCTATGAGAGATGTAAAACTGTTCAGGGGTGATGTACAACTTCTCTGGCGATCTTTGGTTGAACTGAGGCTGGTATACCGATCTCGCAAAGGAGGTATGCAGCTCTGGTGTATGTTGAAATGACTACATACTGGGACTCTCTAGCGCAAAGACGTCATGTGGTATTCGTTAGAATATGGTACTAGTTGGCTCCCCTGCCTGGCGCTCGGCATTAATGGTTACATCAAGGACTGCTCGGCTCGGAGTCACTGCGGCATGGTATCTCAGTGGGCTAGCGCTATAAAACCAGCTTCAGTCTGGGCTAGTACAAGCAGCCGCACATACACATACACACGCATGCACGTCGTCATATCAGCAAAATATTCTCAAGCACAACGTTAAACCCAATTTCACCTCACCTCTCCTGTGGTAGCATTGTCTCACCCCCAATAACTCGACAAACGTACATCAAAATATTGACTTCAAAGTTGTTTGTTGATTGTCACAACCTGCTCGTGCATCCTGCGTTTAATTTCCTTTACATGGCATTTTCGTGCAGTCTTATATGATTGTTGTATTATGCGACACATGTTTAACACGGTTGCGTTTATGCACCACACCAGTTTAGAAAGTTCTGACTAACATCGTTAATTAAAATATATTGTATTTGTAATGAATGTTTCGTTGAATAAACAAAATTGAAATTCACATTATTGTATTTCCTTTATAGTGTAAAATTTAAGACACCCGTTGAATGTTTACAAGTTGAAAATCATTGATGTCTATTTCACCTTTGAAACTCACATCAAAGAAATACAAGCGCGATGGCTGTGAATAGCCACGATGTTACTGTTATAGGTATTCGGGACATCCTTGTGTCTCCTTCTACCTGTCACTGTGTAGGATCTTATGTCCATCTCGACAGAACCAGGACATGGAGGACGTTGACATGGCGACAAATAGACATGATTGCATCACACGCATTGAGCAGGCACTGACAATACATAGTCATTAACCTCATATGTCATAGTCATAATCTCATCATTGCCTCTCTGTGTCAAGATCTAAGGACCACGGTACGCCAACGACCAAAGCAAGGACAGTAACGGAACTCGTATACATTCTATTGCAATGAGAACATATGTATAAAGTGAATTTGTAATTTGCTAAACGACCCCTTTACTTCTCTGCAAATGTAGCATTTTGCCACAACACCGGGAGCGTAATGGATATTTCACAGGCTGTGCATGAGCCTGTAAGGGAAACCATCCAACGCTCTATAGAAATTAACTGCCCATGAAGGTAAAGGTAATGGACCTACATAATTTATGGCTTAGGGTATGTGTGTGGCACACACACACACACACACACACACACACACACACACACACACACACACACACACACACACACACACACACACACACACACACACACACACACACACACACACACACACACAGACAGACACACACAGACAGACACACACAGACACACTGGTGTGTCCGCCGTGATATTGCTGGATTATTATAATAAAGCTGCGTAAAGCTCAACTCACTCCCTCAATAGAGGCACCAACAAAACAAGTGTTTGTACGCTGAGTTTGTTGCAGTCTGCATTATGTGTTTGGGTCAACTGAAATTGTTGCAGGCTTCACTCACTCACTCACTCATCAAAGTGGTATACGTCTACGACTTGCATCAGTTCTAGGTTTTCTCTCACATTCAGCAGATATAGCGTGAATATTGTCCAAACTGACGCACTCACGCACTCACGCACACACTCAAACCTTTGTTCGGAACACTATTAAATACAGAAAACAAGTTTATCAAATGAAAACAGAAGTAGAACCAATCGTAGAAAATCGTATTGAATTCATACAGACAGAAACGAAAGTTTTTAAGAAGAAATATAATAATATTAAAGATCGATCTGTTGGGTAGATCTGTGCTCATAAGTTGGGAAGCAGCATTGGTTAAAATGTCCTGAAACTAAAGTGTTCTAAATACATCCTTAAGTATAAATGAGCAACAAACCGTATTTCACATTTCTTTATGTGATGAACAGATGTTAATTCATTTAACCGGGCAAATGTCTTCAAAGAATAAACCTAAATAAAATTACACTTTCAAGACACGGAACTTTTGTTAGGGGAACTTAGCAAGGTTGAAGCTTTATTCGCTCTTAAAACTACGACAAACCCAGGACCTGATAGGTTTACGGCCGCATGTCTGTAAACTTCATTCCAATTTGGCTATAAGAATTATTAGAACTCTGAACTACTTCATGTTCCAAGATGATGGCAACTTCGTCGATACATTTTGTCGTTATATGCATCCGTTCTGCACGAATTGTTTACTTTCCGCTGTTTGGTTTACCATAATCACCCAAACCATAGTTTCCAGTTGGATTAGACCTCCGTGTTACACATTGTATATATGACCTGTTCTATCTGTGACCGGAGAATTAGAAACGTGTCACTGAATCATTCTACAGCTGTGATGAACATGTCTCCAAAGTCTATATAAGTATTAATATAATCTGTTGATCTGTCTGAAGTATTCGCTTTGAATTCCATTAATAAGATACCGTTCCTTTCCATGTCTACCTCATTGATTGTTAGTTATCATCGAAAGAGGTATGGTGTTTTAAGGAGTATTTGCCTTTCTAAAAGAGATGCCGTCTTTTCCTTGAAATGTAGTCGCATTACAAATAAATGGCATCTTTCGCTATTTGTTCCGTTTTCACATTTTAAGCTCTGAGAGTCACCTTTCAATCACTCAAACCATTTCAATGCAAATGCAACGTAACAGGCTCGATAGCAGATTTTTCGACTTATCTGTGCATCATCTGGTTGTGTTTGGAAGGATATAATAGATCAGCTGTGTCGAGACAGGAACATCACTACTAGTGCTCCATTGTGTTGCCATGAGGAGGTTCTATCCTCTTCTTAGAAGGGGAATCCCGACAACTCCGACAAATACCACAGGAAGGTGCACAGTGGTGTAGTGGTTAGCTTGCTGGCCTCTCACGCCAAAGGCCCGGGTTCGAATCCCGGTGGAGACACCAAAAGTTGTGACCTGGGTCTCATGCTGTGTTGTGTCCATGGGCAAGGCACTTCGTCCACATTGCACTCAGTCCACCCAGCTGTTCAAAATGGGTGCCTGAGAAGCGGATGTACGGACCTATACGGTCGAGCGAAGCGCTTAGTAGCAGCTTTGAAAGTACAATTCCGCCAGGGTAATAATGTAACGCCGGAGAGCAATATCGTGTTGGATTCTAGGCGCAAAAATTAGCATTATTATTATCATTATTAAGGTGATCGTCCACCTCCTCCGGATGCCCTCCCACTCCTGAAGGTAATATCCCCATTTCACTGGGCTGCGATCGGTCTCGATTGCATTTTTTATTAAAATCGCCATAGATCGTATAATGTCGGAAATATACCTGGAGTAGTCGGCAGAGATCAGCAAGAGACGTGAGTGTGACTGCATAGTCTGGAGGTGATTTTTGAACAGGTGAACAGGTTAAAAAACATGAGCCGATTGAAAAAAGTAGCAAGTTATGCGTGACTGATCGGGATAGTCGCCAGTGTGTCGGGAGTTAAAGGAAAGGGTAAACGAGACTTACCTTGGTAAAGTTGAAGTTTGACCTACATTCTGCCAACCAGTCTGGAGTGCCGAAGAGGGGTCACATGAGATGGCAAGTGCGCATGCGCTAGTCAGACTGGGGCCATGATATCTGGAGTGCCAGGGGTCACATGAAGGGGAGGGTCCCCAGGGACGGGCATGTGACCCCTCTTCGGCACTCCAGACTGGTTGGCAGAATGTAGGTCAAACTTCAACTTTACCAAGGTAAGTCTCGTTGAACCTTTCCATTCTACCAACCAGTCTCGTGCCGAAGGTCACATGAGACTTCAAAGCAATATCGTGTCCAGGCCTTAAAGAACCACTAAACTTTGTTTTTTGTTACTCTTTTAACCATTACATATGAAAGACTTGTGGTTAGTCTTATGCGGAACACCAAATTTATTCTTTAAAAACTTGTGGTTAATTAATACCGAGCGATTAAAAGTGGCCAAAAAGTCGCCTGCTTCCCTCTCGCCCGCCAATGAAACCACAGACAGGTTACGTAACTCTGTCGCCAGAGCACTGCAGTGACGTCATATGAGGAACGATTTTCAGTTAGTTGTATAGAAAATGTGTAGCACGCTCATCATTTTGATGATTTCTCGACATCAACGACGACATGCCGAATCGTTGCTTTGTCGTCAATTGCTCCTAGGGGTCGGGCGATGGTGTCCCCATGCACAGATTTCCACAGGACCCCGCAGTTCGTGCTAAATGGGTTATGTTTGTGAGTGCGAAGCGAGCGTTGTGGAAGCCTGAAACGATATCTTACTTGTGTTCAGATCGCTTCACGGAAGTTAAAGAATCAAAACTACTTACTAGTTGTAGTAAAATATGCATATGATTGATGACCATAAAGATTTTCTATGACACAACTTGTAACATAACGATTTCTTCCCCGGAATTGAGGTTGTGGTCGAAGTAACAATAATATTGTAAGGAGTATTATATTGACACCCACCTCGCTGCCACGAGAGAAATTGTTATGATATACGCTATGTCATGCAAAATCCCATTGGCCATCAATAAAATACATATTTTACTACCAGTAGAAAGTAGTTTTGATTTTGTAACTCGGTGAAAACAAACCTAAATACCATTTATCCTCAGACTGGCGGATGTTCCCGACAGGGCGCCGCCATTTTTAAAAATAAAAAAATCTGTTAGAATTAATGAGATTATAGTTTGTTTTCATCAAGTTAGAAAATCAAGACTACTTTCTACTCGTAGTTAAATATGTATTGGAATCATAACCAAACGGATTTTGCATGACACAACTTATAACATAACGATTTCTTCCACGGAAGCGAGGTGGGGGTCGAAGTCACAATACTGCGCGATAAATTTCTTGCTACATTCCCATGGTTAATGTCCACTCACCAGTATGTAGATACTAGTCAATGTGCGTCTTTATATTTGGTCTTATAATCCTAATTAGTTTATTATCACAATTGTATGCATTTTGAAACTAAATAAAAAGCAGACGATCTGCTGATACTTATAGTGAATTTATAACAGAACTGTAATATCTAGACATTTTATAGTTTGCCAATGTGAATCATAATTCGCACACACACCCTAGTGCATGTTGTCTGTCTCATTACACTTCACGGCGAAAACAATGATTCTGTTGAATGCTACGACAAATGAATAAAAACAAAATGCAAATATTAAAATTAAAACAGATTAAAGTCATAGGAACAATATCAGGCCATTACCTTGTTCGAGGAATGTATCCATCAATATCCACAAAACTGTTCCAAATGATGTGTCTTTTAACAGTTTAATATACGAAAAAGTGATAAATCTTTTCAGGTATTGGTGTATAGTCTCATTGGTCACCCAAGATAGCACACCTGGCAACTAATTGCATAATGTCCACCTTTCTTTAAAACAGTAATTTAGTTAGCCAATAATGGGCAATCAATCAATGTATTGCCGGTTAATCCTTTGAAAGAAGGACGTTGTTTTTACGCAGACACCGACACGACAGAGTGTATTCAGTATAGATTAGTAAATCTACATACATAAACACTACCTTTTGACAATTCCGCTGTGTAAGATAAAAGTAATTAATCAATCAGCGTGTTATCGGTTAATCCTTTGATCGATGTTTATAATGTTGAATATTTACTCCAGACACAAGAAATGCCAAATGGGAACCTTTGTCGGGTAATCTAAGTGTGTTACCACTAATTATACCTGTTATAAATTCATTAACTGACCATCAAGTGAATGATGACAAATAACATGTGTAGGTTTATACCACCTAGCACGGGTTACAACAAGGGAGTATTAATTGCTGTATTGCATGTGAAAACTTATGGGCCGACACTGTTTTGAGAATACAAACAGATTTTTACATGACATGATTAAATATCGAGGTAAAAAAACACAGAAATGGGATCAATTTGGATCAGTCATTATACAAATAGGGCCTAACGACACCTATCGATTTTGACAGAATCGTCTATGAAAACAAGTTGTAACTCGGAAACTAGGCAAAGCAGGAGACAAAATTAAATGACAGTAGATTGTGAGAACATATAGCTTTCATTTTCCACATCAATTGTCACGATTTCAGGTTTATACAAGCCTGTAAACAAGATAATTTAACCCCTAAAATGTAGATGAATTCTGCATCGGCCCTCAAAGCTATTCCTCATATGACGTCACAGAGGCGCGCCGCTCTGATTGGTTGAAATTTCGTTCGCGGGTGAGAATAGTGCACTGTTGTCAAAAAGGTCGATTTAAGTCAATTAAAGGTCGAAATGAGTAGTTTTAATGACGGGGTTTCATTTATAACGATGCCAGTTAGTGATTTATGTATTTGTACCCCCTAGGGTTTATGTGACCTTTAAGTGAGCCAATAAAACAAGATCGACCAAGATCTGATGAAAAGACACATTTATTAGAATAAGCCAAAAGTTTAGCTCAATACCACATGAGACATTGTCCCTTGACAATTGTTCCAACCCACATCTTATGGTAACTACACTCAAAGTCAAAGTCATTAGCATACTACTGTGAGACCAGTTCACTTACTGGTTCTTGCTAGACTGAATAGCCTGTGAGGAATTCTCTGAACTGCACTTAGCCAAAGGTTTATTGTAATATTTGGCAAATGTTTTAGCTGATGACCATCCAGCTCTCTGCAGAATGTCTGAAACAGGTACGCTTGACCTCATCGCAGCAGACACTGAAGCTGATCTTGTACTTTGTGCTTTAAACTTATTTGTGTCTATACTAGCACGACTAAGACCATAATAATATATCAAATATCGACAATATTTACTTATGATATAACACCTAAATGCATGATTTGCCACTGGTTGTCAATGAGACATTGTTTAATGCACAGCTGTTTTTTCCCTTTTTTGTGTGTCTGTAAAATCCTAAATATACCCTAGAAGTATTGGTTTTCTCACAATATAACAAGAAAATGTAATATGGTTACAGAAGTGTTGTAAAGAATTCATGACAGGAAATACGAATATCAAATAATATATCGAGAGAGCAGTTGTTAAATACTCATTCACAGTATATTAATGATATGACCCTATTGCGTTGATAGATATTTTTCTAAAAGTGAAATTAAAATTGAATCTTGATTTTGCACGTTAACTTGTATCTAATTTTTGATTACTTTAATGATTAACTAAGACAAAATCACTACATCACCGAAAGAAAATATCTTGAGCTCTGCGATTGGGCATGACAGACTCTACGGCAACGGCATAGGCCAGGGAAACCACTCCCATCTTGCCCATAAACTAAAATTATCTGCTCTTGAGTTAATGAAAAGTCACGGCCATGGTTTATTCGCACGCGGACACCATTTGCTAGTATCCTTCCTTGATCATCAAAAAGGTATGTTGTTTCACACTTATTCCAACATTGAATCGGGTGGGAATAGTACTTTGTGATATCGACTCGGTAGTTCTGTGGTTCACTACAGCAAATAACAATGTATCCGACGTTAAATCGGTTGTGCATTCTCCGTGTTGAAGTGTCGAGGCGAATCATACAGTACAGTTTTATGCAATATAAAGCAATCTCAAACGTAAAGCTGATTATTTGCGTGAAACTTGAACACCATTTTGTCACAGACTACAATGATCTTAGCTCCTTACAATTGGTCCGGATTGTTTCGATTGTAACTTACAACGATCTTAGCCTACAATCGCTTTGTGGAAGTCGATGGTGATTGTAGCCGAAGCCTAAGATCGCGATCTTATGGATTTACAATAATTGTAGCGCTAAGATCGTTCTGTGCAAGTGGGCCCAGGTTTAATCCATCTACTGACAGTATCTCGGGAAACTCGAGTATGAGGCTTGATTGTACTAATCAAAAGTCTTGTTTCTGAGCCTCTCAACTTTCCAGTTCTAGCAATGTACTCATTGAGAGATGTGATAGGACAAATGCTCATATCGGGGGCATAAGCATGTACATCCACTTTGGGAAACGCTTTCCCACATCTTGACTGTTTACTATGTTCTTGCAAATAAAATGTCACTCTTGAACACTTGTTTCTGATGTCCATATGATCAATATCAAATAAATGCAATGTTTGCCCTCTCTGGGCGGTAGTTAATGAAAACAGTAATACTAGTTTGATTGACAAATTCACTAATGAGAGCTTACGCACAGGCGTCAACTTTCTCAAGTAATCCAATACAACATTAGCGATATGTCCGAATATCTAGAGGTAACGGGACGAGCTTGGTATACGCCCTTCATAAACCTCTTCACTAGTGGGTGTTCTCCCACCGGTACAGCAGTAGAAACAATCAGCACAGATAAAGCACTTCTGGCTGTATTAAGGCTGCTATAACTCCAACCTTCTGAGTACAGTTCATACAGGAATTCCAACACCATTTCTATAGGGGGAGAAACTGAATCAACTTGTTTCCTAGAACAAAACTTAATCCATCTGTCACAGTACGTCTTGTACTGTTTGCGAGTACTTCCTCGCCAGGACTGCAACATATCGTCGGCAACTTGCGGAGATATTCCTCTCTCTTGCCAGGATTTCCTGAGACTGGGAAAACTCCTAGTATCATCTGATTCAACTGTGGATGAGTGTCCCGACTCCATCGGAGGTATAGGGCTTGGTTTCCCCTGGGGATCATCCTGGGTCTGTCAAACAAAAGGTGCAGTAGATGAGTAAACCAAACCTGCGTTGGCCATACTGGGGCTACAATGATACCAGTAGCATTATCAGCAATGACTTTCTGAATGCAACGTGATAAGAGACAGAAAGGTGGAAAACAATAGAAATCTTCAGATTGCCAGTTGAACGTAAATGCATCAACATGAATTGCTCCAGGGTCTGGATGCCATGATATATATCTAGGGAGTTTATTATTCAATCTTGTAGCAAACAAATCTATTTGGGGCACAACTGTATCAATAGACATAATCTTTTCAAACACTGACATTTCAAGGGACCACTCAGTCCTGTCTGAAAACCTTCTAGAAGCATTATCTGCTTTCACATTTTCAACACAGCAAGATGAGATATGACTATCTTGACATGATTATCAATGCATTGCTGGACTATTTCCCTTGCAACTTGATCACACTCAGGTGATACCATACCACCCATTTCTCTTACATAACTGACAGCTGTAGTGTTATCACACTGGATGTGAATAACTTTCCCACAAATCTGTTTCTTGAAGGACATAACAGCTAAAAGAATTGCTTTCAATTCCAACACATTTATGTGATTTTGACTTTCTGATGGTGTCCATCTACCATTAGTGGTGGCACTATTACAACAGGCACCCCAGCCTTCTTTACTTGCATCTGTCTGCAATGTGACACTTGGTAATAACATTACTATGTCTTTTTGTGAACCCTGGATAGTTTTAATCCACCACTGGATTTGTTCCTTACTAGCAACTGACAATGTCACCAATGTATCAAAATTCCAATCATTCTGTCGCAAAGCTCTTACTTTATTTTTCTCAAGTTCTCTGTAACTTAATTTTCCATATTCGACCTCAGGAAACGTAGATATCACCTTCCCAATGAAGACTGCCAATTCTCTAATTGTAAGTTTCTTGTCATGTCGGAGCTTATGTCCTAAAAACACCAAAGTGCTTGCCTTCTCATCATCCATGATTACCTTCATTCTGACAGAGTCAATGGTAAATCCTAGAAACTTGATCTTTTGACAGGGTGTAAGTTGAGATTTGTTAACATTCACTGTGAACCCAAGTTTTGTGAACCATGTGATGGCACTGAATCCATTTTCTCTGCAAAGTGATTTATTTTCGTCTGAAATCAAACTGTCATCTATATAACCTAGGCAATATATGCCTTTCTGTCTCAGAGATGAATAAATTACTTTTGTCAGTTTTGTAAAGATACGAGGGGCCGATGCCAGACCATTTGGCAGACAGGTAAATTGATACAAATTCCCATTGAATCTAAATCTCAAATATTTTCTGTGTGCGTTGTGTATGTTCACAGAGAAATATGCATCCTGTAAATCAACAGATACCATGTATGTCTCTTTCGTGACAAGTGACAAGGCTGTTTCCAGTGAATCCATTTTGAAATGATGGTATTGTACATGTTTGTTCAATTCTTTAAGATTCAATATCATTCTAAAAGAACCATCTTTCTTGTCTCTCAGAAATATATTTGAAACAAATTGCCAAGTTTCACTGTGAACTTTTTCAATAACATTACGATAAAGAAAATGTTTTATTTGTTCGGAGACAAACTTTCTTTCTTTCTTACTGAATTGTATTGGTTTTGGTTCTGATTTTTGCACTGGTAATTCATTATCAATAAATTCCAGTTTTACTCCCGATACAAACTGTAAAATTATCTTATCACTTGTCAGTTTAGCCCATTCATGGGTACAATGTTTCAAGCTACCGGCCATATTTGTGTTATTCTTATCAATATCTGGCATATCCGAGGTACACTAACCTACCTGAGTGGCTCTATCCTCCAGCTTGCTGGGGTCGTCTACTTCCCCCTCCCTCTTTTTTGAAAATGTTTCTTGAACCGGAACGAATTGAACTGGTTCGGTCCGTTCTCTAAAAAAGAGTTTGTCTGGGAGGCGTCCTGAGGGAAACTATCATAGCTCTGTGACCGTCCAAAACCTCTACCTCGTCCCCGAAAACCGAAGTTATAGGGTCGATTGCGATTGAAACCACGGGTCCAACGTCTCCTCGGAAATCTTCCGGCTCTGGCACCAAGACGATGTGCGACATCGAGATCTTTCACAACTTCGTCACCAAACAGTAGTTCGGGTGTGCTGCATGATGCGGGCGCTCTATATTCCGCCCCAATGTCAAATCGCAAAAACTCTTTGCGTTTCTGAACTGTAAGTAAGTTGGTATATCCCATAATGTTCAACATGTCCCCGAGTAAGGTAAGCATCTCGAAGTGGGCTTTAGGAAGCTCTGATTTGTTTGTAAACAGCAATTCCATCTCGCGGACCGCAGCCGTCGAACTTTTGACAACACCATTTTGTATTTTCTGCATTTTTGTGTCAACCGCACGTGCGTGACCCGAAACATTGTCCCATATCAGTTTATTGAGTTCAGGAACTTGCAGTTGCGGGCAGTTCGCCGGCTTCAGGTGAGTTTTCATTCGCTCATTCACGGTAGATTCATTTTTGACTTCCTTGTTCGGTTGCAGATCAAATAAAGAGGACACAATGTCAGCAAGGTATTCTGGGATATTATCCCCTTTCTCTGCAGCTAAACCCAGACTTTCTTTCAGCTGATCAATGCCATTGATATCACTATTTTCACTGCACATTTTGTCGGAATCTTCCACGCAAAGCCGCAACAGGGTCTTGCGTGGAAGAGTTGACTGGTAATTGTCCCGAATCTAGACCGTAACCATCATCATCGTCATAATATTCAACTTCGTCACGACAGTTGTTGTCATAAAGACCCTCACTCAGTTTAGTGAAATTATTTTCCATGTTTCCGCTGAGCTGGCTCAAACCAGAGTTCATTTTCTTCATTTCCGACAACATGGCCATCATTGTCTTGTCAAGTGACACGGAGAGTGAATCGTCTTTAGATTGTTTTGAGGTAGACGCCTCTGAAGGCGTAGATTTTGTTGATTTTTGAGAGTCAACTTTACTCTTCGATTTCTCGTCAGATTTGGCGCTTTTCTTCCCACGTGGGGACGAGAGCATGGCGTCAGCCATGTTCATAAAACTGATTTCGAACGAAAATACTTCTCTGAATGTACACACGACTCTTCAAAGTTTTGTTATGACACCTCGGGTCATAAATAGGCTCGCCTCAAATACGTGAGTATTTGAATCAAAATATAAAGACACCTCAGGTCTTTTCATCCAAATACGAGCTCGCTCAAATGCGTCTGATCATTAGCGCGAGTCGCGAGTGCTCTGACTAGCGCATGCGCACTTGAAATCTCATGTGACCTTCGGCACGAGACTGGTTGGTAGAATCGGGAATGCATCGGCAAGCATCATGAGCAATCGGCTTAACCGTAGGTGAAGCGTGAACGAGTCGTACCATTACTGAGAAGCAGAAATTGCCACGTGCCATCCCGGTAATGCCACGCTTCACACCCGATCAACCACGATTAACTCCCGACACATCCCCAACATGGAACCGACAATGTAATTGCCTAACAAAGCAGAGCTGTCAAAGCCACGCATCAGCACGATTCCTCCCAAATAAGACACGATCCACTTACGTAATGCTCACGCTATACTCACGATTTGCATGATTCACATCAGACTGACAGAAAAGGTATAAAAGCACCGGCGATCGAAGTCAACATCACTCCAATTACAACTGCGGTAATGGAAAGATTGAAACATGGACAAAGAGAACAGCCAACAGGAAGAGGGTTGCAAAGTGTTGAGAAAAAATTGCCATCGGTTTGCAAGAATACCAAAGGCATTCTCCATGACTCTCGTGCTCTGAAGATCCTGTAGTCTGTTAAACTTCTGACAGACCACTTTTTGAGTAGGGTTTCATTAGATATTGACGAAGGGATAATGCATCATCTGCAAGTATGAAGTAAGGCATATCCAAATCATCATTTGGCAATGGTTCAGGTTCGGACAAGCATATGTTGCCATCTTCTATACACTCCTTGCATCTGACATATGATCCAGGCCTCTGACGTCCACCCATAGAAATCTGTAATTAGCATCTACAAGGGCCAACAGGACAATGGAGAAGAAACCCTTGTAGTTGTGGTAGAGGCTCCACTACCAGATGGCTTACGAATCGCGATGTGTTTTCCATCGAGGGCACCAACATCATGAGGGAGATTCCATCTCTGCTCGAATTCCAGACTGGTGGTTTTCAAATCCGCTAGAGTGACAGGACATGCAATCACTGTATCCTTGTAGTGGTCTACAATGGCTTGTCACACCTCTGGGAAAAATATGGCTATGGTGTGTCTTGACACTCTGAAGTGGTAGGACAGGGAGGGGTGCTTATCTCCATGAAAGTCCCTATTCTCGCCCTCCTGACTTCAATGGGGATCCCTATTGTGCTTGCATAATAGTTTTTTACAGTATACAAGTAATAGTATATCAAATTTCATTTACATCAGAGATCAAATTGACACGTCTCTACCTGCTAAGGGAGATCATCCAATCAAAATTACCCCCAAATCACCAATCTTACAGATTACCCCCAAAATCAGAGTCAGAGTCGGTATTGATGGAATTGTCCTTGACTGGATACATTCTTACCTATCTGATAGGTCTCAGTCCGTCAAAGTGGAATCTGTACTCTCCACTGCATCACCACTCCACTATGGCGTTCCCCGAGGATCTGTCCTTGGACCTTTACTGTTTAGTCTGTACATTCTTCCCATTGGTGACATTGTCCGAAAGCACTCACTGAAATTTCATCTCTATGCTGATGACAATCAGTAATATCTGTCAGCGGAGCCTAACCTTGCTGAAGATTGTGCACTGAAGATACAACAATGTATTGCTGAAATAAGAGACTGGATGACCTTGAACTTTCTGAAATTGAATGACACAAAGACTGAGTTCTTGACCATCGGATCCAGGCCCCGAGGTTACTAAAAAATTTTCGTGCTCAACTCAATTTCATGCTCAAATTCGTGCTCATGCTCAAAATCGCGCTCAGCTGAGTATCGTACTCAAGCAGAGGTTATAAAACGTTTTGAGCACGTACTCAGCTGAGTACAACTCACACTCGGCTTGAGTATGCTCAAGGTACTCTTTGTTTATCACACAAGCGGCAATTTGGAACTCTTCTGTCAAGAAAGGTAAGAAAAACGACCCGGATGTTGTCGTCTGCTATATTTACAATGGCAACGGAGGGCGTGCCCGAGTTGAAGAAACGTGGGAAAGGATGGTCGGAGGCGGAGGAGGTTTGCCTCATACAAGAAGTGCTCCAGCGAGAGAAAACTCTCTTTGGAGACATGAAAGGGTGTGGAGTAAAGTCCATCCATCGACAGCGTACCGATGGATGGCAAGAAATCACAGACACCCTAAACGCGTAAGTTGTTCAACATCGTTCCATATTCTGTATTTACTGTTCCTCGAAAAGATCACCAAAGCCCTCACCACTCACCGCCATATTTTCCCAACAATGAAAATAATAACAAATTATCTTAGTTTGTAAAGACAATAACATTTCCAAAAACGAAACAATTTCAGCGATCTATGCGACTGTTCATAATTTATGGCTACGGGGTGAGTGGTTGATGAATTTCTTGGAGAAGCATGTACAATGGGAATGACTCCCAAACCCCTGACCCCAGTCAAAACTTATGAATGGTCCCATTTGTTCATGTTGTTAACATTGAGATTATTGATTTATGCCTGGATCAGCTGTTCAAAGCAATGCCTGTATTGCTATGAATTTATTTACTGTTGACAAATGTCATTGTTAAATGAGATGAATATATATTGTGTGACCTGTATTGTGTGAAACTGTAACCTGTTCCCATACCCCACCCACAAAATGTATATTACCCATCAAAAGTTTAGACTCACTAGTGTAAATGTTGCCACTTACTTCAGTCAACTGTGGAAACTAGATTTTGCAAAATATACCATACTGTTTAAGGATACTGTTTACACATGAACTGATGTATTGCAAAACAAATCCATAACGTTGAAAAAATTATTGTCATGAGTTCAATAAATGATGAAACTCAGTGAAAATTGGTGAATTCGTAACAAAACTTTTACACCAAAATGCAGCTGTTCACATGCAAGATATCTGCACATTCTTTTCAGTAATTTGATGCATGATCCTCATGCAATTCATCTGAATAAGTTTCCCCAAGTAAGTGGAGAAATTCATCTTCAATGTAACCACTTATATATTTTACACATAACATATTGTGAGTGCTTTAAGTGAGTCTAAACTTTTGATGGGTGGTATAATTATGTAACTGATCATTTGTGTGTGGAGATATCAAATTTGATAATAAAACTTGTATACTTTCAGTAGACACATCAATGCCAAACGAGACACTGGAGGTGAAGAAGAAGTATTTTAATCTGAAGCAAAAGAGGTACTCTTTCACATTTGATGTACATTGTAAATAGTAGTGGGTTTGTTTTTCATCCATGATTATGTATTAGGTACTTATTATTTAAATACAGAAAATGATTCTTAATCTCCATAACACATGAACACATGTCAATGTAAGGATCATTGTTTATTATTCAGATATATTCCAAATATAAAATATGTGTATTAATAAGTGAATTTAACCTGCAATTTGTTTATTGTAGCTAAAGCAAAGATCGATGGCCTCAAAAGGTCAATGGCCGTTACTGGAGGAGGGCCTCCACCACCAGCACTAACAAGTGCAGATGAGGTGCTTTCCCAGTCATTGGAAGGGAGGCCAGGCATTCATGGCCTAGACCATGGCATTGACACTGATGGTAAGGAGTCTTTTTCCATATTTTTAAAGAATGATATCAATTTTGTGCAAACATTCAGATAATACTGCTGCCTGTGGTGAGACTTAAAACCTGGAACATTTTCATTCTGATGACCAAACAAGGAATAAGAAAAACTTTCTTGACACCACCATCATGGACAAAATCAAGCACTGTCCGAGACAAATACAACAAGTACTATTTTTAATACACAAAGCTTGCTATTCATGTGATCATAGTAAATAATACATTTGTTGTGTATTACATCGATTTCAAAGCATTCAGGTAATGATTAATCTGTGTCAAATGATATATTTGAAGACAATTACTCAGTCATAACATTTGAAGGTACAGGTATTTGTATGTAACTGTAATAAATTGAAAAAGTTAAAATAGCTGAAAAATACATTTTGCTTTCCTATTTACAACAGATGCTTATGCCTGTGCAGATGAAACTGACACTGCAGCAGAAGGTAAAAACAAAATTTTATGGTCTCTGAATACTATTTACATGTAATACAGTAATATACACATCTCATGTATAACATGAAACATCTGTAGTACTTGCTGGATTGTTTCCCTTAAATTACATATTTCAAAGAGCATAATTCCTAAAATCTCAACTAATAGTATTACCAATAACCTTTATTTTGTGAAAATATCAATTCCATTAATGTGAACAATATAAGTATACTGTCTTGGAAAAAGATAAGTTATCTTTAATTCCTTGAATGTGAAAAATGGTATTCATCTTTTACAGGCCCAGTAGGTGAAGAACCACAAGGTGAAAGGGCAGTGCCTCAACAGGAAAACGATTCAGATGGTACATTTGAAATATTATACTAATATATGTAAAAAAACAAAATATGAACTAATGTGCATATTTCAGTATTGTCAAAGTTATGATTACACAATGCCATTTAGAAAGTGGTCAAATGTAACATATGTTATATGTGGGATTACACTTTCGTAGTAAGTACAGATTCTAGTACCTTTTGATTGAGTCCATCCAGGATTAGAAACCACACCCTCAGAGTCAGGCACCTAATCACCAGCACACAATGCGGTAGCTGAATGGGTTATGCGCGGCTGACTTTGTGTGCTGGCGATTAGGTGCCTGACTCTGAGGGTGTGGGTTCTGAATCCTGGATGGGACTCAATTGAAAAGATACTAGAATCTGTACTTTACTAAGAAAGTGTAATCCCACACATAACATATGTTACATTGTCAAAGTTGCAGTTTGGTTACCATAATACAAGTGCAATAATAGCAAACAGTAACATATTTGCATGGAATATCATCCCAAGTTGTCATTTTAACAGAACGTACATGATAGAACATTGTTAGATAATTGACTTTACACTAAACATATCAAATGTCTGTTTCATTATGCTTACAGAGATAAAAAAGCCGGAAGCAGAGAAGAAATCAAGCTGAGGCAACATATCACAACACAATAGAGGACACTAAAAGGATTAAACTTGAACAAAAGAAGCTGCAAATGGAAATTGAAATGTTAGCAAAAAATCAAAAGAAATTAGATTCCGAAATTCAGTTGCTCCATGTCAGATCAATATACTATCAACTTAAGATGAATGCCGAATTTGGGTGTCATTGGAAAACTGTAAAACTGAAGAATAAATGACATCAAATTTTACTCAAGATTTTGTCTTACATTTTTAAGCAGAAATGTTTGAAATAGGAAAAGTAACAACTATTTCCATCAAGAAGATGTAAATTGTAGTATTTCATCAGCCTAACCTTTAATTGAAACAGTATTTGCACCACTCTCCTGGTCCAGATGGTATTGCTGCAGAATTCATTAAGTCTACTAAGTACCATATTACTTCAGTTCTGTCAGTTGTTTTTAATAACATTTTTGACAGTATTGTATTCCCTCTAAAGGAATAGTGTTACACAATGTCAGCTTTATTCATGTATTTTTAGGGGTGACAATAATTTCTGCAGAGCAATATTACGCCGCGACAATCAATAAAAGGGATATAATTGTAATGAGGCAATGGCAGTATGATTAATGATTGAAAAATGTCCGAATAATGTGATGTCTCACATCAGCTCCATCATTTTGACCTGTAACTAATGGTACATAATTGTCATTAGCATTTGGTGTTGGAGGCACAAGATTTTCTTCATTATTAATTATATCACCCCTTTCAATCCCCAGATTGTGTAAGACAACACATGCAACAACATAGGTGACTGCATTCTTAGGTGTGGCTCCGAAGCTCATTGTGCAGGCACTGAAACCGCCTTTCAGAATGCCAAATGTCTGCTCAATGAGCACCCTTTGTCCTGCACAAAGAACCATTATATCAGCTCCTCAGCACGCATTGGTTGGGTTCAGTAAAGGAGTCAGGAGGAACCAACGACATGGGTAGCCTGAGTCCCCCAGTAGAAAGCCAGTGTACTGTCCTTAAACAAAAAAATTTGAAAACTTGTAAAAAGATGACAGCATAATGTATTGCTTAAAAAAAAATTGAAAACTTGTAAAAGATGACAGCATAATGTATTAAGCTTAAAAAAATTGAAAACTTGTAAAATATGACAGCATAATGTATTAAGCTTAAATGTGTAGATATAACATATGTGATATTTATTTCAGATATTAAGAATTGCAATGCTGAAATTATACATATTGTGTGAAATAACACTTTCTGCTGGAATACTTATATTCATCTTGATTAAAGACAATGTATATCATAGTATATCAACTGAAACTCAATAAAGTATCTACTACTTTCAGAATTAATCACTATACTTTCACTCTACATATTAACCAATAATAACAATAACATTATTTGTAATATTTTGGCATTATATGTAAAAAAAACATCAACTATATCTTGCTTTTACTTGCACAATACTGTTAGGTAAATGTTCTGAAATATAGGTTACCATTTTCAAACAGACGGCACAGTGTTGATGTCCGGAAGATGCGGCTGTCATGCACTGATCCGGGCCAGCTGGCGTTGCAACTGGTGATTTTAAAGTTTGCATCACAGCACATCTGTAGGATTATAACAGAAGAGAAAATTTAATATCATCATTCCAAATGTACATATCAGAAATCACACCCAACACCTACACCATCTTCGAACGAACCCTAAACTCATTGCGTATGTTAATTATGTTTATTCATATCGATAGTTACCTGAACATTTAGGGAATGGTAACCTCGCCGGTTCACGAAGTCTCCCTCGTTTGCAGTCGGCCGCTGTATTCGGATAAAAGTACCGTCGATGCACCCAACGACATTCGGGAATCCTGCAAGTTACAATATATCATAGTCTCACAATAGATAGCATATTTTATTTTTCAGTTTTAAAACAGTTTTCATTCGCAACCAAAGCCCCAGATTAAAATCATCGTTAAATTCTAAGGGTTTGTTGTTATCTGTGACACGTCCTCGACCCTGACCCAATACACTGGCCAATCAAAATATCACTGACGCGAACCACACCAATGAAATCATTTATGTATGTTTAGATTGGGAAAACCCCATGTACGTACCTGCAATGTTGCCGAATGCCTCCTTTGCACGAACGGCGCCCCTTCCAACTGGAAACTGGATAAAATCCTTCGACAGTTCGGCTATTTTACTGACACTGCCCGTATACATCTGCCCGCTGTTGATCTAGAAATGTTGAGACTGTCCCCAACCAACAGATGCATAGCGCCTGTCAACAAAAAGCGAAGGCAGAGGAGTAGTTGCAACAGAGGTGGCAGTGAACAGTTCCGAGCTGTGTGTATGGGTAAAATCCAGAAGCCCAAGCAAATATATTATTGTTCTTGGTCTAAAACGATACCTCTCAAACACTTCATCGACTCCTAAATCTTCGAGCGGGTTCGTACGATCTCGGAACACTCTGGTACACGGGATGTCCGCCGAGCTTGCCGAATCTGACGCAGGTGAGCTGCCATTGTTGACATCGAACTCAGCGTTGAACACGGTCCAGAGCATACTTGAGATCATAGCATTTCATGCTCAAGTTGAGCACGAAAACGTACTCAGAATTTTCAATAACCTCCATTTACCGAGTCTGAGTTTTGAGTTGAGCACGAAACCCGATTTGAGCATGAGATCGTACTCAAGAAAGTTTTATAACCTCGGGGCCAGGCATCAACTTTCCAAAGTGCCTGACAGTTTATCTCATGAAATTGGACAAGATGTTATCACGGAGTCCGACTCTGCAAAAAATCTTGGTGTCATCTTTCAATCAACAATATCATTAGAAAATCAAATCAAATCACTCAGCAAAGGATGCTTCTACCATATTTTCAATATTAGCAAGATCCGAACCCTTCTTAGACTTCAACACCGCCCAGCTTCTAACGACCAGCCTTGTTCTCTCTAGACTTGATTACTGCAACTCCCTCTATTACAACATTCCTCAACAGCTCCTTTCACAACTCCAACGGATTCAGAATTCAGCCGCCCGTGTTGTTGCCCGTGCACCACGCTACCAAACTGTGACACCTATCCTTCAAACTCTTCACTGGCTTCCTGTATCAAGCAGAATTCAATACAATTCTTCTTCTTACACACAGCTGCATCTATGAAAACATGTTTTCTCAATATCTTAAAAAGCCTCATTCATCTCCATGTTCCGATTGCTCCGCTCGTCAAACTCCCTACTGCTTACACAGCCTCACGTCAAAACAGCCATGGGATCAAGAGCGTTCTCTGCTGCAGCCCCCTATCTCTGGAACATTCTACCACTCGCCCTAAAAGGAATAGAATCTGCTGACGCTTTCAAAACTGCCCTCAAAACTCATCGTTTCAAACTCTCTTTTCCATAGACATTGTCTACAATCCGTTCTCTTTATAGCACCATTGAGCAATATCTTTTGGAAATAGGCGCTCTATAAATCAATTATTATTATTATTATTAAATGTTACTATCGAACTTCAGACAAGGGTGCAGAGCTCTTCTGAAGTTGATGTCTTTTTGGTAAGTCTGGGAGACAGGGAATGAAGCAGTTCATCAAACATATCAGGAGGCATTCGCAGATAGTTGAAGACAGAAGACGTGTCTTCCAATCTGAGTTCAGATATGAGATTGTCATAGTTTCCAAAGTTCAATCTTCTTTCCAACCTCAACCACGGACGTACCCAAAACCGTTTCTGTTTTCTTCTTCTGTTTGGTGCCTGGTTCCTTCTGTATTGATAGATATCTATCTCCAAGCCTATATGTTGTTGCAGCAAAAGAAGTAGTTGTGCAGCTGTGAGAATGTTGCTAGATAATAAGAATCGGCTGTCATCGTCGGACCATTTGGTGGTTTGGAGGCCGATTTTACGTGTCTTATTCGGCAATTATACGTACTTTACTCGACGTCGATCGGTAATCTTCGCATGTAATCAGCAATGAGTCTTCGATATCGTAAGCCTTACATCACCGTGTCCGCGAGCATCGTGAGGAATCGGGGGTAAAGCGTAGATATATCGCCGCAAAAACGTGATTTAAACGTAGCCAATCGGCCAATACTGGGTGAACTCCTATCAACAACGGGTGCTCAATCGCAGTGTTATCGTCATTTATACGTAAATCTACAGTTTCGTCATTGTCCATTACGTAGGTTTACCGTAGATACTGCGTAGAAAAGGAAAATATTAACAAAATCTGGCCGATTGAGAACGATAACATCGTAGGTGACGAATCGGCACTAGTCGGGATAGTCTTGATAGGTCGTAGCCCAGTGAAATGGGGGCATAACGGATCATGTGTAAGAAGTCCTGAAGGAAGACGTCCATCTGTTCCACTCAGGAACTAGCTTGTATTCAATTTAAACTTAGTCCTAGCAAAGGAAGTGCTGGGGATCTTAAGTAATTGACGTGGAACTGCCATTATGAATTGCCTTTATGTCATTCAAAAGCCAACGAGATTATACTGATCTGATTGAAGTAGCCATGACAATACCGCCATGCTCCGTGTCATTACGTCCACCACGTCTGCTGATCGATACATGAACTATACAAAATGTAGGTTGTATAGTACTCACTGTTCTGTTAGGTGTATGTCTTCTCCTTTTACAGATAGCCTTTTGTTGAATAATTTGGGAAATAAACGTTGAAATAAATAATAAACATCTTTGCATTTTTTTCATTATTTTGTGGAACATATGGCTTTGTGGTCGGAATGTGCGATGTAGTGGTTACCGAGTGACACATCTACAGACAAAAATACTCACCAACATTGAAAACGCACCAGTCTAGAATTGTCCATATTTTCATCAAGATGGACTTCAGCATGACAATGATCAATGGATATGACTTACATGAAGTCCAAGGGCATCAACATGCAGATACACCATGACAAAAGTGCGAATTTCATTCTGACATCATGCAGTCTTTGACCTTAAAAGCAGGTGTATGAGACACGATTCTCATTGCTTCGCTAACGATTGTGAAACGAGATGCCGAGGTTAACACGTCACGAAAGAGAACGTGCATGAGTCAGGTTGGCACCAGCAGCAGGGATATTGCTTGACAACTTGGACTTGGCCACTCCACCATCGTTAGGCTTCATAGACGACATCAGCAGATAGGCAGCACCCGTGACCTTCCACGACCTTGACAACAACGTTTTACTACGCCCCGTCGGGATCGCCATATTGACCTTGACAATGTGGCAGTGTGATATTTTACATTTTATTTATTTTATTTGTGTAAATACGGTATCATTTTTAAACAGTTTGGTTGTGGTAGTTTTATTTGGATTAGGTATTTATTTGAGTGTGTTTGGTATTTGTCCCCAGCTTGATTACCCCAAGTTGGACCTTGGCTGTATTGTTTTATTGTGGGAGAGCAGGGTGTTCTTTTGTTCTAAACTCAGAGGGCAAGCTATTCCTAGATCTCTGATTGGTCAGTTTAATGTTGTATGTTTTCTTCTTTACTAACATCAGCACATTTTAGTCGACCACATACAGCTGCACAAGAAGGGCACCTTAAACAGATTTCTTGACATTTTGACAGACGCCTGATTTTCGCTCTTTTTCGGTTAGTTAACTTAACTATAAACATAGTATGTAGGATGTAATATACTGAACATCATTGAAAACGCACCACCTGTTTTAGTTTGGATTTCCAAAAGCATAAATGAGCAATCGGTGTACATTTTACATACTTTTATAATCCAATGATTGGTAAAGAAAAGAAACAAGAACCAATCCAGCAAAAAAGTGAAGTTTTAATTCAACTGACCATGAAAGAAAGCTGGAATCAAATTGGAAAGTCAGTAACGTGTATGACCACCGTTAGCAGCAACACAAGCTGTGCAACGTCTCCTCATTGAACTGATAAGTCCCTGAATAATGTTTTGAGGCAATGCATTCCACTCTTGATGCAAAGCATTCTCAAGTTCTCCAAGGTTGTTGATCTGTGGGCGACGTGAGAGGCGTTGGCCGATGTAATCCCACAAGTGCTCAATGGGAGACAAATCTGGTGACAATGCAGGCCATGGAAGTAGAGGAATGTTGTTGTGTGCCAGAAACTGTGTTGCAACACGTGCAGTGTGCGCTCGAGCATTGTCCTGCTGGAATGTGTGCAGATCTTGATGTTGGTTAAAGAAGGGAACGACGTTGTTCTGAAGAATGTTGTCACGGTAGTAAAGGGCATTCACTCTGCCACGACAAACTATCAGAGCGGTTTTGTGATGATAACTGATCCCTCCCCACACCATAATGCTGACTCCATCCCACCGATCTGTTTGTACAACACAGTCCTGATGGTAACGTTCTCCCCGTCGACGCCTGTCAGCATTTCGGAAGTGAAAACGTGACTCGTCGGACCATGCCACAACACCATGCCAACAACCACAAACGATGCTGTTCAGCCCATCGTCGGCGTTCACGGCGATGTCTATCAGTCAGGATGGGTCCAACATAAGGGCGTCGACACCATAATCCTGCCGTACGGAGACAGCGTCGGTCGGTGGAAGCACTGACCAAACCACGTCGGCCTTGGACAGCGTTGGCGGTTCTGGCAGCCGGCAACGTACGATCCCGAATATGGCGCCGAACAATGTCTCGATCTTGGCGAAGGGTGGTAACACGTGCCTGGCAATGACGTTGGCGGTCACTGTTGGTTCCTGTTTGTTGGTACCTGCTGGCAAGTCTTATGATGGTGGAATGATGGCAACCAAATCGTCTGGCAATAATCCTGCTTGATGTGCCAACCTGCAACATGCCCAACGCCCGTTCTCGTTCCTCTGGTGACAATCTTGGTATTGCAAAATAAACTTGCGGAGGTACAGCTAAAATGAGAACGGCTTTTTGCCGACGGTCATTTATACCCAACTCAGCATGTTTTACGCATGCAATTTGTGCTTTTCGTGTGTGTTGTGCATGAATTTTGTTGTTGTCATGTGATGTGTTCCAATATGTGTTCGGGCAATCCGTTCTTTTCATGATTTTCATGTTTACTGGGTAAGACTTCCGCCCGTACCCCCCTAAATTTTAACGGTAAGGGAAAAATTCTTTGAGTGGCACTTATAGAAGTTGGATATGTCTTTCAGTATGTTCAGATACAATTAAAGAAACATGTTAAAGTCGTCCTTATCAGATGAGGAATATATATATTCAGGAGATAGGATTTGAGTAGAATGTAATTTAAGAGGGGATACGGGCGGAACTCTTTCCCTTTATTATACAAGTCTGTGTTGAAAATAGGTGTAGATCCAACAGCA